CCGCGGCCCTGTCGGCTACAATGAGAAACGACAGGAATATTTAAGGACAAACAAGGTTTCCCAGCGCAATTTACGGCGCTTCCAGGCGGCCCCAGATGGGGCCAATCTGATGCTCGCCAGCAAATCCAATCGCATTTCCTTATCGGTGCATTATTTCAGGCGTTATCTGGCGCTGATGTGCTTATCAATTCAATTCCAGCCCGGCGGCGGCCCAACCCCACCCCCACCCCCCACCCCCTCACCCTCCCAGCCACAGTGCACTCCCCCACACACACACACACACACACATACACACGCACCGGGCCCCGCTGTATGTGCTCGGAAGAAGGAAGGCAAACGGGCGCCGGGGGGCCCAGGGGAACTGGTGAGGATGCTAGGCGAAGAGTGGGCGAGTGCAAAAGAGCGGGGTCCGAGGCGAGGAACGGCTGGATAGGGGAACCCTCCTCTGGGCCCTGCCTAGCTTCAGGCAGGCCCCCAGAGCCCCCATCCCCACCCAGCCGCCCCGCCCGCCGCCTAGCCCGGCAGAGGTGAAGGTGCCCCATTAATTCCAGGCTAAAAATGACAAATTCATCTTCGACGACAATTAAATGAAGTCGGTAATTGATGCTAATTGATCTTCGGAGGAGAGGGCTCCCCTCGGCTTCCGCATCCTCCTCCTCCAGCCCCCCCCTCCCCAGATCCCCCGTCACACACAGTGCCTCCCCCACCCCCAGCAGCCCCAGCTACTCTCCCGGCATGCCTTCCAGGTTCCTAACTCCTCTGTTGCTACCGGCTTCCTGCCTTTCTTCCCTCTCCTCATAGCCCCTCTCTGTCTCAGTTTCCATCTCTGTTCTTGAGTGCTCTGCCAATCCTCCTCCCCAGTGCCTTCTCTCCTACTTCTCCAGCTTCTAGTTACAGGAACAACTCCCTCCCTTCCTTCCTCTCTCCCTCACCGCAACTCAGGCTTTATCAGCCCTGGCCGGTGATCCCAGAGCCTCGTGGAGGTGCCTGGCAGGCCAGGCCAGAAAGCTCAATAGGAATTTCAGCATGTTCCTGGAAGACACTGTTAGGGATAGGCCTGTCCTTTCTCTGTAGGGCACTGGCCCCCAGAAGAGGAGAGAGGCTGGGGGATCTTAGCCTACGCCATCCAGGTCCCTAAGCTCTACAGACATAGACTAATGCTGCCTCTGTCTCAGTTGGGTTCCCCCTGCCTCCAGAAGGGCTCCCTAGGAGGACCAGGATAAGCAATGCGCAGCCAAGGGAATGACTGAATGGCTGGATCCAGGGGAAGCTAGCAAGTCATCTTAGGTAGAAATTATAGGCCTGCCTCTGCCCTCCCCCACCCCTCCATCTCTCTGTCACTGTATCTCTGTGTCTTCTGTCTTTCCAGCCCTCCCACTGTCCTGCTCCCCTTCTGGGAGCTGAAAAGTGAGTTCTTCCATACCCACTGATAGAACTAACCTGCATCCCTGCCTCCTAGATCTGGCGCAGAGGGAGCAGGAAAGCCCAAGGGAGGGGAGGAGATAAATAAGAGTTGGTATCAGCCCCTCGATAAATACACATGATGTGTTCTACCCCCTCCCAGCTCACTTCAGCCACTGCAGATACCTATTAATCCTGACAGACGCAGGCCAGCCTGGGTGGGTAATACAAACTGATCCATCAAACTGCATACTCAGATTCCCCCACTCAGTGGGCCAGCCCCCAGCCCCCACCTGCCAGTTCTGAAGCCATGGGAGGCCCCACTAGACAAGTGTATTACATGGATAATGTATTGGACATATTAATAAAAATTCTTGAACAGCCCAGCCCTGGCCCAGCCCTGGCCATGACAGAGCACATATCACAGGCAGCTGAGCATGCTTGACGTGATGTCTTATCAGAGTGATAACCACAGTCCCCATCTCTAGAGTGCTTTTCTCCCAAAAGTCTTGGGGGGAGAGGAGACTGCAAGCATCACTTGCCCCATTTTACAGATTGGAAACTGAGGATCAGAGAGGTCTGTTTCCCCAAGGTCATGAAATCAGGGGTATCAGAGAGGATTTGAACACCAGTCTCCTGCCCTCCCCCCACCAGTTCAATACTAAAGGTCAACAGCTCCTTCTTCCTGCTATCCGGCTGTCCCATCCATGGTCCCTGATTCCATGGAGCCTAGGAGTATAGGAAAAACTGAAAACTTGGTTTCCAGGCCCTGAGTTCTAAGCTCTGGTTTACAGGTCACATGTTCTGAGCCCTGTATTCCGAGCCCTGTGTCCCATGTTTGATATTCAATTCCACAGACCTATATTAAGCGCCTACCACTGTATGTACACAGCAATAAGCTAGGTAAAAGAGAGTGGTGTTTGCAGAGCCATGTTTTGTTAGAAGATCAGATCTAGGTTCTAGATTCCAGGTCCAGATTGTGTGTAGGCCCTGCTTAGAGTCCAGGTGAGTCAAGAAGATAGGTGCAAGACCTGGCTCAGAAGCTAGAAGAAGGAGGTAATTTCAGCCTTTCTCTCACCCCAGGTGTGCAGGCTGACTCATCCCTAAGGAAACTGGCCTCGCCCTGAAGCCTCCATGGGCATTTAGGAAGAGGCTTTCCACATAGGCTAGGAACCCAGGTACCACCCCTTCAGCCTGGGCCAGCACTGCCTGGAGGCCTTGCAAGGTTTCCATAGCTCCATGCCCAGCCTGCTCAATGTCTGGAAAGGCATGTCTGAGGTATGACCATCTAGGAGGTAACAAGCCCAGCCTGAGCAGCCCCTCCCCTCCATTTGGGACTTGGGGATGGACAATGTAAGCCTACCCACAGCTACCTTCCCCTGTGCCATCATCCTCAGTCACTGTGCCCAACCTCGCCCTCTTCACTTACATAATCATCCGCAGAAGGCCAACCAGCCAGGAGAACAGGGGGCCAGAGTCAGGGGGGGGGGGGGGGGGAGGAGTGCTTTTAAATTCTATGAGGAGGAGGAATCTGATTTGTTCTACTTGTCGCCAGAGGGTAAAGCCTTGAACAATGTCAGGAAGATGCAGAGTTCGATTCAGGCAGGTCAGAGGTGTACCAAAGGAGAATGAGTTGCCTCCAGAGGTGGTGAGCTCCCCATCCTTGGAAGTATTCTATCAGAGGCTAACTGACCACTTTGGGGGGGGTGTTCATGTTTAGATCTGGGTTCAAAGTACCTCCTATTAAGATTCTGTGGCCATTCTTGTCCTCACAGCCACAATCTCCATCACTGTCCCTGACAACATTACCAATGAGGCCAGAGCTGTGCTGGGGTTGGGGATCATATACCAGAGAATGACTACCTTCAACCTTCTGCTCTCAGTGACCAAGGACTAGGGGCTGGGAGGCTGAGAAGTACTCCCCAGTTCACCCCTCAGCTCAGCCAGAATGAACATGGTCCAACAGGCCCCAAATAAAAGGACCAAGGAGAGAGGCAAGGAAGGAGAGAATAGCTCTGGCTCCCTGGTGAAGCCCTGGACCTGCCCCCCCCTCTTGCCTGCCTCCCTCTCTCTCCTCCAAAGTCTCCCCCTTCTCTTCCTCACTCCTGAGCTCGCGCTCGCTCGTGCTCAATCAGCCGCTGTCAGACCTCCGGCCTCGGCATTTTGGTGAAGAATCTCTCGGCTAAAAATTGTTGTCAGTCCCATTTCCTGGTTATCAGCAGGAGGGCGGCTGCAGCCTCGCCCGGGATTAGCGGCCCACGTCCTAGCGACGGGCAGAGCATCCGATAACGCCACAGCACCGCCAGCCACCGCCTTGCCTCCCCCATCCATCATCTTTAGAGTTGACAGGTCCCCCCCAACACTGCCGCCACCCACTCACCCACCCATCATGTCTCTGTCCTTGCCTAGTTCCCAGCTTCCTCCCTGGGTTGAATTGAATGGGATATGGCAGGCTTGGGGGCTACCAAGGACAGAGGCATGCACAGGACAGAGGCTGGAGGGAGAGAATAGTCAGTCTTATGCCAAGGACCTAGGGGCTATGGGTCATCACTGTTGGGCTGACTGTGCCCAGCACCAAAGCCAGTGAGAGAGGGAGAGTAGGCCATGTCTTGGCCTTTGTATAGTGTCCACCAAGGAATAATCAGGGTGGTGAGGGGCCTGGAGACAACATTCAGAAAGGCTTCAGACTCCATGGGGGAGCGGGGCATCCCACAACCTTTAGAGCTGGAAGGGACCTTAGAGATTATCTAATCCAACTCCTTCATGGAATCACAAAGGAGGAGACTAGGAGAGGAAGAAATTCTTCTATTTGAGCTCCTGAAGAGCCATCCTGAGGAGGAGATATGAATACAGTTGGGCTTGACCCCAGAAGGCAGAACCAGGAGCACTGAGGTAGTAAAGAAGAGCAGATTTCATGGGAGATCAGGAATATCACAATAATGAGAGCTGTCCCAGAGCCAAAGGGACACCCCCAGCAATGGGAGGCTCCCCTTCAATAGAAGTCTTTAGGTAGAGGCTACAAGAGTCCAGGGCCAAGATGGAGTGGAAAGGATTCTTGTATAACTTCAGGCTTGAAGGAACTCCTCTGAAGCCCTTTCCACCTCTGAGAGTCTCAGCTTGAGTGAGACTGGGGGATGGGGGGGGGCATGGAAGGTGCAAGCCAAAGCCATGGGGTAGAACAGCTGGGGGATGGATGAGAGCAGTGGGAAGCATGGTAAGCAGGAACTGCTGAAGGGCCTCCTGAAGCCCAGGAGGTGATGGCCACAGGAGGCCAGATAAGGGACAAGATGTAAACCGGGCTTGGGTTGGAGCCAAGTAAGATTCTTTTACTGAACCTGAGTATCCCTCAGCCTCAGCCTCCTAAACAGAGAGGATCAGGAGCCAGGGCTGTGCCAAGGCATGCTTTGGGCACAAGAACCCCAACTAATATTCTGCCTTATCTTTGTGTGTTTCCCTGTCCGTGTCTGGCCTTCCTCCCTGCCTCCCTGCCTCTCTAGGTAAGAAGAAGGCAGCGGCAGCAGCAGCGGCGGCGGCAGCAGCGGCAGCAGCCCTGTTTGACAGCCAGGCCCCCACTTGCCCCATCTGCCAGGTCTTGCTTCGGCCTGGGGAGTTGCAGGAACACATGGAACAGGAGCTGGAGAAACTCACCCAACTGCCCAGCAGGTACAGTTCACCCCAGACTTAGTCTGTCTGGCCACCATCGCTGCTGCCTCTCCCATGGGGCCCCCAAGCCAGAAGGCCAGAGCCTCCCACAGAGCCCCTGGCCCCAAGCTCCCCCTCTTGCCCCCTGGCTGTCCAGGAGCTCCTGTCTCCAATGACTCTCATCAGATTCACCGAGCCTTCCCCAGCATTAGACTGTCTCTTACTCCTGCCTCCTTTCCCCTAACAGAGCAATAAGGGATTAAAGTCTGTGGGAGGAGCAGGCCCCTGAGGGAGGGAATGAGATTGGGGGCAGAACCCGCATGCCTTGAGCTAAGGAAGGCCTTGGCACATTCTGGTTCCCCAGTGGCCCAAGGATCAACCCTGGGGAGGGTTGGGGGGGGGGAGTAACCCTGTAAGGAGTTGTGGCTCAGCCATCAGGGCACCTGGGGCCCAGGCCCTGGATCAGTGGGGCAGGCTTGAACCCCCGCACCCCCCTCTGCTCTGCAGAGCCAGTGAAATCCCGCCTGATCGATGGAGCTGAAGAGCTACTCGCGACGGGTCGATGGGTTTTTATCTGTCTCAGCCGGGCCGCCCGCTGACAGCGCGCCCGGCAAAGGCGTTCCAAGGGCGCCCCCCCCCCAAACTGCCTGGCCCTGGCACCTGACGAGGCTGCCTGATTTATCTTAATTTTTAATTGGAAAAAATTTGCGAATTAATTGATTTCCCGGACTTGCCAATTAAGGCTGTAATTGGGTGCGGGAGGGATTCCCAGGAAGGGTCATGAGGGTGGGGGGAGAGAGCCAGGCCTCCCCTCTCCCAGGCTCCCTCTTGTGGGTTCCTCCTGCCCATCACCCACTCCCACAATGGGAGAGATTCAGAGACATACTGTCCCAACCAAAACAGACCAATACAATCACTGTAACCACCCTCTCCCCCACTCCAGGAGCAGAGCTAGAGTCACAGCCAGGACCAATAGTGTCCCGAGGAGCAGGTGTAGGAAGAAAGAGAATGAGTCAGGTTGAGTTGAAGGTGGTGCTGGGACATCCCCCAGGGAGGTATCTGGTTTCGAGTGGGAGTGGGCAATAGGGGGGGTTAGGGGATAGGCAGGCTAGACTCTGGCCATAGAATTAGAGATGTCTTCCAACATCCACAAGTCCCTGAGCTCTGAGGGTTGTGCTGGTGGGAGGGAAAGGCAGGCCAGATTCGGGGCTTCCTCAGGAAATCTCAGTTTCTTGTTGGGGACTCCTGTTCTAAGGCGTGTGTCTCTGGGAGGTAGCATGGGACAAGTCAGCAAGGACAGAATGGGATGGAGGGCTACCCCCAGATCCCCAGGCCCTGGCCTTTCTCTTTGCCTCATCTAAAACCTGGCAGGCCTATGGAGGTGATGGCATGGCTGGCACAGGGGCAGCAGCCAGGAGCGGCAGCAGCAACAGCAGCAGCTCTGGGCCTCTGCCTGCCTCGGTGTTTGGTTGGGTAATGAGCTAGATAAACAATTCCCCCAATAGATTAAAGCTCAGCAGGGGGCGGAGGGGGAGGCTCAGTGCGGGCAGCTCCCTGCCTCTTTATTTCCAAGGATAATTCAGTGTAAATCACCTTAATTAAAAGTGCCAGCCTGGGCTGGGTGCAGGGACCGGTGCTGGGGCTTGCTCATGATTTAAAGCCCCCGGATCATTCGGTGGCAGGCAGGCAGCAAGTGGGGAGATCATCAGAGCCTCTCTCCTGCTCCTCCCTCCTCCTCCTCCTTCTTGCAGCCTCCATCTCCCCAGGGCTGCCATTCCCCTGGGGCTGGGAGGGAGGGTCAGAGAAGGGAAAGAGGGATTGGTACTGCCTTGGACCTAAAAGGAGCCCCTGGTGCCCTGGGCAGGAGTCTCTACCGAGCCTAGGCCAGTCCAGGAGAATGGGAAGAGGCTCAGGGGTCCAGCTGGGTCAGTCATTCTCTCTACCCTCCCCCCAATCCACGGGGTTCTGCTGTGTGCTGTACTCAGCTCCTCTGCCTCTCTCTGTGAGCCTGCATGATCAGGGCTGTGGGCTGGGCACAAGGACCAGGCCTTAAGGGGATCAGCTTGGTAGAGGCCCAGTGATGGCCTGCTCCTTGTTCCTGTCACTCCTGCTTAGTGGAAGGGAGATGGCTATGCATACGGATGCTAGGATTAAACCCAGACTGGGCCTCCCACCTTTCGCTCCCAACTCAAGAGGAGGGGCATGGGGAGAATTGGTCTCTACCTCAATGGGCCTTTGGCCCCTGAGCAGCTGCCAGCCCATTGAATCCTAGGAATTGTCCATAGCTTAGTTTGGTCCGCAGGGTCATGGCTCTGGGGGTAGAGGAAGGAGGGGCAGTTGCATATCTGTTCTAAGAGCCTCGTCCCCTCAGCAGCTGCCCTAGCTCTAGGCGGTCTATAGGTAACTGAGGGCAAGGGAGGGCAGACACCCTCCCATCCCTGCCCCACCCGGGAAGATAAGCAAGGCCACAGGACAGAGGGAGACCCAGAGCCTGGCCATGAAGTGGGAGGTGGGGAGTGAGGAGGGCTACTACTCCTGCACTTGTCCTACATTCCATTCCCCAGGGACTCTGGAAACCTTATCTGCTTGTCTTCTTTCTTTACAGTAAGAATTCCCTCCTGAAGGATGCCATGGCCCCTGGCACCCCTAAGGTAGGTGACAGATCCCATCTCCAGCACCCATCGTGTGTCACAAGCTCATCATAACACATGCACAGTCATACCCTCCTGACTAGGCCCTGGAGGATGGCCCTCAGAGAGCCCAGCCCCCTCCCGCTGGCAGAAATCATCTCAGCAACATCCCTGACACAGAATTGTCTTCCAAGGAAGAGGAGGCAGAATTAACCCCCTCCCCAGGCAGCCCATGCCCCTTTAGGACAGCTCTCTAGGTTAGAAAGTTTCAGTCAATAGAATGTCAGGGCCTGGAGTTGGGAAGACTCATCTTTGTGAGTTCAAATCTGGCTTCAAACACTGTGTGACCCTGGACAAGTCACTTAGCCCTGTTTGCCTCAGTTTCCTCATCTAGTAAAATGAGCTGGAAAAAGACATGGCAAACCACTCCAGTATCTTTGCCAAGAAAACCCCAAATGGGGTCACAAAGATTTGGAAATGACTAAAACAACTGAACACACACACACACACATACACACCCCTAACATCTAATATCTAACACAGGACACAGCCCTTCATGTACTTAAGGACAGCTATCATATCTCCCCTGAGTTTTCTCTTCTCCCAACCAAGAATAACCCTGGTTCTTTCAAGTAACGTTCTTAGGACATGATTTCTAACCACCAGTAGCCATCAGCTGCCCCTTCTCTGGCAACTCCCTGGGCATTCCTCCCCCACCCCCTCCTGCCTAGTTCTCCCTATCCCGTGCACAGTCCTGGAGTTGGCCCACTCTTGAAGCAGACATAAGGATGCTGACTCCCTGTCTTCTCTGCATGGCCAGCCCTCTGCTCAACTGTACCTGGGGGTGGGGGCTGGAGGGCTGGTCCCAGGGAGCTTTTACTCCTGCGAGAAAGGAGCTGCCCCTGACCAGAATATTACTAAGAAGAGATGAACAGAAAGACTATTGATTACAAGGTGATACTGAGAGCCAAATGGAAGTGGCCGGGGCCGGGGGGGGGGGGGGGGGGGGGGGGGGGGGGGGGGGGGGCGGGGGGGGGGGGGGGGGGGGGGGGGGCGGGGGGGGGGGGGGGGGGGGGGGGGGGGGGGGGGGGGGGGGGGGGGGGAGTTCAGGGAGGGCCTGGAGGCAGGTCTTAAAGGAGAGTCGGATTGGGAAAGCAGAAGCAAGGAGGATTGGAGTGAGCAGGCAGTGAGGCAGGGGTGGGCCAAGGCAGGCTGGCTAAGGCAGGAGAGGGGCACTACAGGGCTACTCACTGAGTCACAGGACACACTGAGGGGAGGGAGACGGTTTCTAGGGCATCAGGGTAAAATGAGATTGGAAGGACAGGATTGAGGTAGATTTCAGAAGACCTCGAATGCCCCACTGAGGAATTTGAACTTTCTCCTTTGGGTAATGGAGATGCTTTTGTGTGGTCCATGACATGGTCATACTGGCCAAATCTAGGAATATCAATTTGGCAGTTGTGTGGAAAGGCTGAGGCTGGAGGTAGAGAGACTCTTAGGAGGCAGTTGCAATAGTCCAGGCAAGAGGCAATGGGGCCTGAATGAGAAGGGGGAAAGCTGTGAGAGGGGAAGGAAACCATGGAAGGAGAGAGAAGTTTCAAATGCAGATTAAATAGCACCTGACAATGGCTTGGATGTGGTCCCTGCTTAAAGCAGGCTGCTCTCCCTTGGCTGAGGAGGGTGGAGGCTGGCCCCATCCCTAGTGCTATTGGAGCCCCCCTCCTGCTCTGGCCTGGCTTGAGGTGGGGGGCAGCCTGTCAAAGCCTCTCTCGTGAGGCTGCTAAGTGATATTTACCCCTCTTTGGAAGCTGAGTTAAAGCCTTCATCAGGCAAGGAACACTTTGTGCAGAATCCCACAAAAGGCAGTGGCGCGGTCAGAGATAAAAGCGGGTGCTAGCAGTAGCGAGCAAGAGCGGGGCTGCTCGGGTGACAGCCGCTGATGGATTGTTTAAGGGAAATAGACTCCCCGGCTTGGCTCAAGCCGCCCCCCGGCAGCAACCCCCACCCAGCACTTAATAGTTTCAAATGACCAAGCTTAAAAGGGAAGTGCATGTCAATGGTACTCGATGACCCCCACCCAACCCTCCCCCACATCTGGCCCCCACTCCCACCACATCTGGTCCCTTCCTCCCCCCACATATGACCCCAACTACTGGGGGGGGGGGGAGTAGGGAGAGGAGCAGCCGGCAGGGGCGGGCCTGATGGCTAAAGTGAAGGCAATTTTGGTCCATTTTCTCAGTGCTGACAAATACCAGGTCACCCCCCACACACACACCACACACACCACACACACACACACACACACACACACACACACACACACACACACACGGATACAAACACAGGCACCCAGAGGCTTTAATGCACACATACAATTTTGTAAAAACATACAATGTTCCACCTACAGAAACCCCAGGGGAGAACATGAAGTGGGGAGGATGGGGGAGTCCCAGGAATCAGCAGAATCCCTAGAAAGACAATCTTTCAGTCGTTCATTTTACAGATGAGGCATTTATTCACTCTCTGCCCCACACCCATACACATATGAATGTACAAATGTACACATGTGTGAATATTTCTAGGCTCCAGGACCAAGGTCCATGCCAAGCCTGCATCTGCTCACTCTGGCTCCTTGCTTAGCCACAGGGCCAGGCCTGGGAGGACCAGGAGAGGACCACAGACCAAGGTAGTGGGCATGTGGGAGTGCTCAGGAGGAAGAGAAGGAGTTTCAAGGAGGCAGCTGGGCAGTGGCTGTGGGCACTGGGACTGAGTTGGTGGGGGGGAGTCAGATCAGGAGGAGGAGGAGGGAGAGAGGAAGTCTTGAACAAGATTGATGATCTCGTTGCCATTAAGAAAAAAATTAGCCAGTGGCGGCCATCATATTAAAGGGTGAAGAAGCCGTGAATTATTTTCTTAAAGATCTTATCGCTTACAATGATAATTTTACCTTGCGAAAGGCCACTTTTAATGAGGCGAGGAGCCGGGCAGAGAGTCATGATTTAATGCCAGCGGTTTTTTTCCCAAGCACATTTTCCCGATCTTGTGCCCGTGTTTAAAAAGCGCTGGTGACCTTTTTTTATTCCACTCGCCCCAGGTGTGAGGCGGCTGAGGTGGAGGGGGAGGCCCTGCCTCTCAGGGTTTATCACCTCCCCGGGGGCCTCTCACCTCTCCCTTCCACAAAGAGATAGATGGATGAGGAGGAGTAGAGGGGAGACTGCCTAGTGCTGCCTAGAAAGCTTCACAGAAGAAGTGGAATCAGAGGAAGAGGAGGAGGAAGAAAGGGGAGAGGAGGGGGAAGGAGAAGGGGTGGAAGAAGGGAAAGACAAGGGGGGAGAGGAGGAGGATGTGGTGGTGGGAGAGGAAGAGGAAGAGGAAGAAAAGAAAGAAGAGGATGAGGAGGAAAAGAAGAATAAGAGGAAGCATAAAGAATTAGCTGAGATCACACACACATTGGCAGAGCCCCCAAAGTGGGGCTGGAAGGGTCCAATAGCCCCTCAGGACATAGGGAAGGAAACTGAAGAAGAAGAAAGGCCAGGAAGTAGGCCAGGCTTCCCACTCAGCGTCTCTGATCCCAAGGAGCCCTTCCTTTCTAGCACCCCTCTTGTCCCCAGTCCTCCCTGGCTGGGTCCCTGGCTGGCCAGGGCTGGAGCCAGGGGCCGGAGGATTGAGGAGAGGGGGCACGTTAAGGCAGGAGGATTGTCAGCAGGGAGAGAAAGACTCAGTCTTGTGTGGGATCCAAGGATTTCATCTTGCCTTCTTCTCCCCGGTGACCCTGAAACCCTGGGTAGTTGGGGAAGAAGGGCCAGGAGACCAAGATAGGAAAGATGGAGTCCCTGAGCCACAGTCCCTATGGAGGACGAGGCAGAGAGGTGGATCTATGTTGCCTGTGTCCCTGCTCCCTCCAATGCATTCTCAGGCTACTTGGAAGGTATTAGTCCCTGAGCAGAATGTGATGAGTTTGCCCTGCTTCTCCAGGGGCCTCTGACAGCTCCTTCTGTCCAGGCTAGGAGAGCACAGAGGTCCCATTCCCACCTAATTTCCCTGGCCCTTCCCCACTGAAAGCAGACAGAGAGACTGTGGCAGTTTCTAGCCCAGCCCCCACCTCCACCCCGAACCCTCACGCAGTGCCTGAGGATGCGGGCAGAATTCGGGTCACATCCCAGCCGCTCAGCCCAGGAGATAGAGGATAAATGACCTCTCTCTTTTTCCCAAATTGCTTTCTTTGGGCTGTCACCAGTGATTTCAAACAAGGGGGTGGGGTGGGGGTGGGGCTATATTGGTGAAAACCTTTGGAGGGAAGGAGAAAGGATGAGTTGGGGGGGGGAAGCAGGGCCTGCCAAGTGCAGTTCTCTCCCAGGCACCTACAGAAATCCCCCCCACACACACACACACTGGAGCCAGCCTCTTCTCCAGCCCACAGCCCAGCTTCTGGCTGTCAGGGAGGGGGATGCCTTGGCCCTTGACAGCCTCCTGGGCACAGGCCCCAGCGCCCACTCCTGACCCATGCTTAGCATGGAAGCATTTCCGCACAATTTAGAAATAGACAATTTATTAATCGAAGCAGCGGGTATGCAGAAGAGGTGCTGAGATTGACGGCCCGGGATTGCTTTGAGCCTCGCCTGTTTCCAGAGGTCATCTCTGAGGCTCAGGAATAAATGGGCCCAGCGTTCCGCCCCTGCCTACCCGCTAAAAACTAATACATAACATTTAATTTACCGTCTCCATAGTGGGGCTGGCCATTTTTCACATAATAATATTGGATTAGAGGCATTCATTCACCACCCAGGCAGGGAGAGAAGAGAGGGAGACAGGGATAGTGGAAGGAACCCTAGGATGAGAGGCAGAGGGCTTGGGTTCAAGTGTCATCTCTGTTACTTCATTACCTGTGTGAACTCAAGCAAGTACCTTGACATCTCAGGGCCTCAGTTTCCCACTCTATAAAATAAGGAAGTTCCCTTGGCTCTAAATTCTGTGATCCTATGGCGGGAGCCTGGGGCTTTGAGCAGGAAACAGGCTTCTTGGCTTTTCCCTTCCCTATGGAACAGGTTGGCTAATCCTAGGCTGACCAGGGGCCCCAAGAAGGACAGGAACCTGCAGCTTTCTCCTTGCAGGTTCCACCCTCAAAGTACTGGTTCTCCATCCCTTCTCTAGCTCCTGACAGTACTGTTTCTAGAGTCAGTCTGGGCCAGCTAGGGCCCTCAAAAAAAAAAAAAAAAACAGGGCTGAGTGTTGGCCCCCAAAGGGAATGACCCCAAGGGTATAAGGCACCACCTTTAGGCCCAATGAAGAGCCCACAGTCCTAGGGTAAGCAGCCAACCCCTGAAGCTTCAAGTATCGGGATCAGCCTGGGCCAGAATAACCCAAGGAGGGGGAGGTCAGCCTGGGTGGAGCCTGGCCTAGAAAAAAATAAAGGCAGTTTGGCTACAAGGATCTAAACAGCCATCATAGAGAAGAGGTGAGACTTCCTCTTCTGGGCCTCAGAGACAGGCCCAGGGGTGGGGGACAGGTCAGGAGGCAGAATGAAGTTCCACGTCAATACAGACTTCCTAAGGATTACAGCTGCCCCAAAGTGGAGTAAACTAAAGAAGCATTTCCTCCCACTGGAAGACTTTGATCCGAGGCTCGGTGCAGAAACTGATCCATGACACATCCCCCTTTAAGGTTTGAAAGGCTCTTATCATAAGTTATCTCATTTGATCCTGGAAGGGAGATGCTGTAAGCCCCATGTGACAGGTAGGGGAACTGAATCAGAGAGAGGTTAAGTGACTTAGCCAAGGTCACACAGCTTGTAAGCATCTGAAGCAGGATTGGCACTGAAATCTTCCTGCCTCCAGGCCCAGAGCTCTAGTCACTGTGCCACCTCGATGTCTGATCAAATGAGATGATCTGGGTAAAGTGCTTTTCCAAATGTGAGCTTGGATTTTTTGGATTCTTGCATTTGTGTGCCTCTCATTGCAGTCAAGCTGGCTTCTGAAGTCCCTTCCAGTAGTTCTAAGGAGATACTGAGAAAATTGGCTTAGACCAGAAGGAGGAAGGGGGCAAATGGCCACCAGGCTAAAGCAACCATGAGGGAGAGGGGGAAAGCCTTGCCTCACTTGGAGCCACTGGAGGGGGGGGAAGGGGGCAAGGGCAATCAGTCATTCTTTCAGTAAGTGCTTATTAAACACCTACTGTGTGTGTGTATGCCAGTCACTGTGCTGGGTACCAAGGCCATAGAGACAAAATGAAATAGCCTTTTCCCTCAGGGAGCTTACATTCTATTAGAAGGATGGATCTATCTATATTTATACACACATATATATATATCATAAATACATACATTTTCATTATATATACACAATGCATTATACACATGCATGTGTATATATGTATACATATGTATATGTGTGTGCACACATGTATATATACGTGTATACACGTATATATACACGTGTATACATGTATATATACATGTGTATACATGTATATATGCATTCATATAAGTGTATGTCATGTATGCATACATGTGTGTGTATATGCTGTGTATATGCACTCCTACATTTATACACATGTATCTATGAGTGTATACATGTGTACATTGTGTATACATATGTATGCATTATATATGCACACAAACATGTGTGTGTATTCTGTGTATATATATAGCCCCTGGAGCTCAGCTTTGGAGGAAATGAGGGATTCTCAGAGTGAAGATGAGAAACAGAAAGACATTCCAAGCTTTGGGGACCCCTGAACCATCTATAAAAAGGTGTGGAGGCAGTAGAGTGTAATAGGTCTGGATGGAGCCAGGTTGAGAAGGATTTAACTGCTAAATGGGAAGTTTGTATTTTATCCTAGAGGTAATAGGGAGCCACTGAATATCTCTGAATAGAAGAGGGACATGGTTAGACTTGTATGTACTTCAAGGACCATCATTTTGTCAGCTCTGCAAAAGATGGATTGGAGAGATGAAAAGACTGGAGGCAGGGGGACCAATCAGGAGGTTATCAGAGTAGTCCAGGTGAGAGGCACTGGGGAGTAGTTTGCACCAGGGTGGTAAGAGTGTTAGAGCAGAGAAGGAGGCTTAGAGGATGAGGATGAGGATGAGACCTAGCAGACAAGCCTGGGTGCCTGGGAAGATGGTGCCACCCCTCAACAGTAATAGGAAGCTTGAAAAGAGGGGAGTGTTTGGAGGGGAAAGATGATGAGTACTGTTTTGGACATGGTGAGTTCTCTGAGAATATCTCTGTGATAACCAAAAGGCAGTTTGTGATGTAGGGGCCTGGGGGTTAGGGCCAAGGGAGGAGGAGGGAGACAAGGGCTGGATATATAGACTTGGGACTCACGTGCAGAGAGGTGATCACTGAACCCAAGTTCTTCCTGCAGGCTGTCTGACCTTTTGTCTTTTCCTCCATCCCCTCTCTCCTGATCTGAGATAATAGATAAAAAAAGATTGATTGCCAAGTCATCAGCAAAAATGTGCTGGGCCTCTACTGTGTGTTGGTAGGTGGAAGAAGCCCCATCCTGGGAAAGGGCCCTACCTTTGGAGTCAAGACCAGGCACCATTGCTTCCCAGCTGTGCGACCCTGGACAAGTCCCTTCCTTTGGAGGAGCTTGAGTTTCCTCCTCTGTGTTGTAGGGATGAGACTATTACTCTCTCAGTGTTAGAGTGAAGTTGTAATATGAGACCCTTTGGGTCCAGCACCCTGAGATTGAGAAGTGTGGCCTTGCATCTGATCATTAAAGTCTAACATCCTGGTCCTCGGTGCTGTCTGCTTGGTTTAGGGGTCATGGGGAAGCCTGACATGGAAAAGAGAAGTCTTGAGTTGGGGAGAAGGGAGAGGAGACATGAGCATCATGTGAAAGACTGTCCCTGTGGGGAGAGATCCTCCTTGTTCTGTGGCCTAGGAACACTGACAGGACCTGGGAGCTGTCCAGCAGTAGGATGGGCTGCCTAGACAGGCAGAGGGAAAGGCATCTCTGCTCACTGGAGTTCTTCAAGAAGAGGCTGGACGACCTTGGCAATGCAAAAGTCGTAGATGCTTATTCACTTCTGGGTTGGATCCAATGAGGTCCTTTCCAACCCAGCCTTTAAATGAATAAGCCCCCTCAGCCTGATCCTAAGGGAACTCCTATAGAAGCCCAGAGCGGATTGTGATGAGGACCCTCAGACCCAGACTGAGCTCAGGCAGAGGGAAGATTGCTGAGTGACCCCGGGCAGGGCACTTCCTTCCCCCCCACCCCCAACCCTGGGCTTCAGGCTCCTCTCTGTGCAGAGGAAGCACTCTATTAACCCTCCTCCACTAGGCCCTTCAGAATCTGTTGACAGCAGTGCTTTCTCAGCCTTACAGTGCTGGAAAAGTAAAGGCATCCACGTTGGTATCATCAGTTAACATCTACACTTCTTCCTGTGGAAATCAGGGAAGACTCTGGTGGTGGTGGCACCTGACCTGGGTTTTGAAGGATGGTAGCATGTGACCAGATAGAGTTTGTTCTCAGGCATACAGTGAGATTGGCCTCCCAGCAGAAAGTTGACTGGGGGGGGGGGGGAGCAAACCCTTCCAGATGGACTACCAAGGGAAGTTACAGGAAGGGAATCTGTGTCCCAGCCCTTACCAATCTCCCCTCCTGCTTTTATTCTTCCTACAGTCTCTCTTGTTATCAGCCTCAATCAAGCGAGAAGGGGACTCACCCACAGCCTCTCCACATTCCTCAGATGATCTGCACCACTCTGACAGATATCAGGTGGGTCTCAGAACCTTACACATGTGCGTCCTCCCTAGCAGGAGACAGTCTGCTAGCAAGGGAGCAAATGAGCCCATCATTCCCATGCCCTGGAGTTGAAAGGCTGGGGGGAGGAGGGAGGATGTATCTCTGCCTCTGTCCCCTCCCAGAGGAGGCCTGGATGACCACTCAAACTTTTGGTGGTTCTGCGTCCCCAGCACTCTAATACCTGGCTGAAAATTGGGAGTCAGGAGGGCAGCTTTGGGGTAAGCTGGGGAAAGAGTGAGGAGGAATTTCCCAAGGCCAGGCAGAATTTTTCAGGCTAACGCACCTGCAGGCACCTGATAACATACCTGCAGGAGGTTCTGTAATACTGCCTGGAAAGTCTGAGTCCTGGTTTGCCCTCAGGAAGATGGGAAGGCAGGCAGGCACTGAGAACTCAAACCCTAGGCTTTGGACCTGGTTACTTCCACCCCCAGCAGAAGGGGCATGGAGGAAACCAGAGTGAGAGCTCATGACTGCCATGCAGGATGCTGCCAAGGCCAGGCCTGGTAGCCTGGAAGCCTCCTGGCCCAAAGGTAAGTCTGACAGGAGTGTTGTGGAGGGTCCTCGAGGACTGTGGAGGCAAGCCCTCCCCTTCTCCCTCTCACACTGACCAGGCCCAGAGAAAAAGTCTTTAAACCCCTTTCCCACAGGTTCAGGGGTCCTAAAGCCTATGAATGTCGATGGGCCAGAGAAGATGGAGCTGAACCTGGGCAGTGCAGTGATTTGGGAGATCTCTACCCCAAAAGAGGGGGCCAGGACAAGAGACAATAAAGCAGCCTTGCTTCTGCTTCTGGGGAAGGAAAGTCTATGAGTCACACACAGAACTAGAAAGAATCTCAGATCACCCATCCCCAGTCTGTAGCTTCCCTGACCCACCTACGCCAGTGGGCTCTTGGAGTCAGGGAATTCACAGGGCCTTGGGGGAGTCCCTTAAAAAGACACAGCCAGAGGCAGAGAAGTGGATGCAGAAGGCAAGGAGGGGGGAAAGAGACAGTGGAGAAAAGAGGAGAGGAGAGGAGAGGGAGGGAGTGCTGGACTTGGAGTCAGGAAGACCTGAGTTCAAATCCAGCCTCAGGCACTTACTAGCTATGTGACCCTGGGCAAGTCACTTAACCTTGTTTGCCTCAGTTTCCTCATCTGTAAAATGAACTGGAGAAGGAAACGGCAAACCCAGTCCAGCATCTTTGCCAAGACAAAGGAGTTGCAAAGAATTGGACATGACTGAAAACGAGTAAACAACAACAGGACTTCTGGCAGTGGTACTCCGGAGCTGTCTCATGAGAGTACATGGCACCACCCTAGAACGAGGCCTTTACACCTCTCGTGTGGCAGTCTAGGAGAGCCTTGGCTCTGTGAGTCTTCTTGTCATGCTGTTGACTCAGATCGAGCTTATGGTCCACTGAAACCTCAGACTTTTTTTTTTTCAGAAGAACTGTCGTCTTCTAACCAGTCCTCTCCCATTTTGTATTCATAAAGTTAATTTTTTTAAACCCAAGTAAAAGATTTTACATTTGTCCCTATAAAATTTCAATCATCTTATTAGATTCATCCCCATGCTCTAGCCTGTCTGTTAATATCCTGACTTTGGCATCAGTGTGAATCCCTCCCAGCTTAGGGTTCCCTGCAAATGTGATTAAGTGCCCACCATGCAGCAGGCACTGTCCTAGGTGCTTGGAATATATAAGCTAAAGGTAAATGAGCCTTGCCCTCAAGGAGCAGACTTTCTATTAGGGGAAGAAAAGATTTGTTCACAGATAAGGAAATAGATGGGGGAGGGTATACCAAGAGCAAACAAAATATATAAGTGATTTTGCAGGGGCAGGATATATGTTTGGAGTAAGTAGGACAAAAATGCACGAGCCTAACACAGATAGATCCCAGAATGGAGACTTCCATTCAAGCTGACATTTAAGCTTTCATGATGGCTCTTTGGATCGAGTCATTTAACTGGTTTCAAAGTCACCTAAAGGTCCTATCACCTACAGGCCATCTCTTCTGCAAGAATAGAGTGAGAGACTTTGTCAAACAATATAGCTGCAGCATTCCCCAGATGGATCAGTCCATTTGTCCTATCAACAAAGGAAGTCAGGCTGATCTGACCACCTCTGGCCCTGAGGGAGCCCAGCTGATTCTTGCGATCCCCTTTCCCAATCTAGATGAAGAGAGGTATCCCAGACTAGGGGAGAACCTTCTGGACTTTAATCCCCTACTGAATTTTTTCTAGCTGTGTGATTATGGCAACTTCAACCTCATTTCCTTATCTGTAAAATGTAGGTAATAACCTATTCCCCAGGGTGATTGTGAAGATGAAATGAGATCGTGTCTATAGAGGGCTTTTAGTAACCCTTAAAGCACTCCAGAAACATCCTGGATCATTCATTGCTCCCAAGCCATCACTTTATAGGGACCACATTAGGATGGGGCCAGTAACTGAAGCCTCCTCTCTTTGGAAAGATCAGGAAATAGTTGCCTTTCTCCAGACCCGGGGCATCTCACCCATCTTCCCTAAACTTTCAAGTTTTAGCATCAAGCAGTTCAGAAATCTCGCCTTCAGAAGCTGAGACATTATTAGTTCATTTGGCCCAGGCAGCTTGAATGTGCCCAGCTTTCTCTTAAGTCCTGTCTTGCCTTCCCTATCCAAAGCTTATCCTCTATGGAACAAAAAAATGGAAGCATTTCCTGCTCTCCTCTATCCATTGTCTCATCCCACTCACCACCACTACCCCAACCCAAGCCATGGTCCTATCCCTTCCTCTCACTCTGTAACTACCCAAGCTTTGCCCCAAGGAGGGCTCTGCCCTGCCCAGAAGTCCTTTTCCATGCTGAAGAAGCCACCTGCCCTGCCCCATCCCCAATCATACAATATCACAGAGACATTCAGAAAGAGACATAGGAAAAAAAAAAACAATAAGAGACATAGAGAAACAGAGAAGTGGAGAGGAAGAGGGGCAGAAACTGAGAAAAGAGTGATAGATAAGGGAGAGAAAAGGAAAGGGACAGAGAGGTAAGGAAACAGAGAGAGATAGAAATAGCAACGAGAGAGACAAAGATGGGTGAAAGAATGAAAAAGTATTTAGGTGCCTACTATGTGCATAGCACTGTGTCAGTATTGATAGCCATGTGGGAGACAACACAGAAAGGAGGTTTTAGCTAAGTCCACTGGAAAAGCCCAGTAGTCATTTGGGTGTGGTAACAAGGCAGATAGATGGAAATGCATCTCCTATGATATTATTTCCACTGCTAAAATGCTCTCTGTTTCTGATGCTGATCCATTTGAGAGGGCCAAGGGTTTAGAGGCTAAGAACTTTCTTTTCCAGGGCTTCAGTTTATGTGGCTCCTAGGAAGGTGGTCCCAAAGTCCCAGCTGAGGCAGTTGCAAGATCCCATCTGCACAAGAGTTGCTGCCCTGGATGGTGGCTATGGAGGAAGGGCTGGAAACAGGACTAGTGCCCTGGGTGGGAGGTGCTGCTATTTCTGGGACTCTTGTGCTCAAGGGTCCTATGTTATCTGAGCCTAAGGAGAGATGGTTATTGACATGGTGGCTGGGGTTTGATGCAGAGGAAACCAAAGTGGAGATGGCCAGGTACAGAGCAGAAAGAAAGTGGTTAAGATAGAGAAATAGAAAAGGAGGGAAACATCTTTGTCTCAGATTAACAGAACAGGACAAAGGAAGGGAGAGAGACAGAAAGAGTGGGGAGATGGGGAACAGGGACAGGGCCTTAAAGAGAAAAAGGGAGAGATATGGAGAAGGTGAAGGGGCAGGAGAAAAGAGAGACAGAGAGAGGGGAGGGACAGAGTGAGAGAGAGAGAGGAATACAGAGAAAGACAAGAATTGAAAGAATGGAGACCTAGCAAGAGAGTGAGGATACATAGAGATGAGGGAGAGATTAATTCAGCAAACACTGATCAGACAATTATTGTGTGCTAGGGGCTGAAGGAGACATGGCTCCTTCCTTCAAGGGACTTTGAATCTAAAGGGGGGCTACGACCCTAATGAGGAGAGCCAACATACACAACATTGCCTGTTGGGTGTATCAGAATGGTACAGAGAGCTTTGTTGAGGTTCAGCCATTGCGGTGGGGGAAGTAAAGTCATTGCCAGCTGGCTTAGGGCAGTTACTAAATACCTAGGAGCAGTTACTAAGCACCTACTATGTGAAAGCTAGGCCCTGGACTGGGCAAGTACTAGGGATATAGTTACAAAGACTGAAACAATACCAACTTCTAAGAAACTGACATTCTAATGAGGAATATAACAAGGACATATGTAAGTATTGTTGTTCAGTCATTTCAGTTGTGTCTAACTCTGTAACCCCATTTGGGGTTTTCTTCGAGAAGATACTTGAGTGGTTTGCCATTTCTTCCTCCATCTCACTTGACAGATGAGGAAACTGAGGCAAACAGGATTAAGTGGCTTGTCCAGGGTCACACAGCTGGTAAGTGTCTGAGACCAGATTTGAACTCAGGTCTTCCTGACTCCAGGTTTGGTGCTCAATCCACCATGCCACCAAGCTGCCCCACAAAAAAGTATATGTAGCATAAATATAAAGAGAATAAATATCAGTAAGTCAAATAGTCATGAAGTGGTTGGGGCAGGAGGGCATTTGGGGGGTTCCTGCAGACAATGGTGCTTGAGTTGTCTTGAAGGCAGAGATTTTAAGAAGTGTAGGTGAGTGACTGGATTTTATGCTTGGAGGCCAGGCCAGTGCCAAAGCATGGAATTGGAATAAGGAGTGTCTGTTGATTGTGACGCACAGAGAGGTCTGCTTGGCTGGATCATAGAGTGTAGAAGAATACGTAGCATTCAATAAGACTGGAAAGAGAAGCTGGAGCCGGGTTTGAAGGGTTTTAAAAATGAATTGGAGCCTGGGAAGTAAATAATAATGAGGAGGAAAAGAAGGATAGATGGCATTTACAAAGCATTTGAGGTCTGCAAAGTATTTTTCCTGCATTATCTCATATAACAATGACAACGGGGTGGCACCAGGTTGCAGAAGACTTTGAATGTCATACAGTGGAATTATTGAGAAGAGCTAGGAAACCACTAAAGGGTTTTGAACAGAGAAGAGGAGGGAGGGAAGAGAGAGAGGGAGAGGAGAGGGGAACTATAACTCCCCAAGGACCTCATTCCTGCTCAGCTCAGGCCTTCTTTCCTAGGGTCAAGTGGAGGCTCTCTGGGTCTCAACTTCCTCATCAGTCAAATGGAGAGGGATTTGCTGTTTCCAGGCCCTGACCTGGATTCTATGGGGATATGAATGAGGAAGTCATGATTCCTACCTTCATAAGCTCTCAATATAGTAAGGAAGACCAGCCATATACAGATAATGGCAATGAAGATCACCAAGCTGGGCAGGGAAAAGGCCATGGAGGAAGGGAGTGAAAAGGTGTTGACTGGTGCATTGTGGGAGCTCAAAGGAGCAAAAGAGGAACAAGGAGGGTTCCTAAGGGGGCTTCCTAGAGGAGGTGGCACATGAGCTCATTCTGGAAAGAAAAAGAGGGGAACACTTGGGAAACTAACAGGACAAAGATTCAGAGGCAGCAGATGCAACTGAAAGTTCAAGGAGCAGCATTTAGCCCAGTTTGATTGAAATACTGAGTACCTAAAGGGACAAGTTAGGAGAGTCACACCATCGTCCAACCAAGAGGCAATGAGGGACTGAGCTGGAAATCCAGAGGTGAGCATCACAGAAGTTCCAAGGTGAAAGGGAACCCAGAAGATAACGCCCTTCCAGCTCATCCAAAGGACTAGTACAAATTGAAGATTTCTTCCACTTATTTGAACACTAAGGTTAGGCACTTCCTTGGTGGGGAGTAAGGTAAGGGATAAAGACTTGATAGGAGGCAAATCATGCCCCCTAGGACAGCTGTTGTGTTACCTTCCAGGCCCACAGATCCAGCTCCAGACCTGGGCCCCAAAGCTGATACATAAAGGCCTGGGGGGCTGGCCATGAGATGTAGTGGGACTGGGGCCCAGCCAGACAGCTGATAGACAATGTCAAGGGCCAAAGGCAGCACCCAAGATTCTATGGTTGTGAGGTCAGGACAAGGGTGAGATCCCTTGATGTATAAGACCCAGACAGATGGCTAGTACATAACTTCTGAGGGGGGCAGATCCGGACAGACCCTGCCAGGCAGACCCATGACTGATAAAACCAGATACATGAGGTTCTAAAGGATGTGCCAGGGCTGGGTCAGAACAAGACAGAAGCAGCCCAAGGCAGCCCACAGGCTGATAATTAAGTTCTAAGGGTTGGACAGGGTCAGACTGGGACTCAGACTGGCAGCCAGGGGGAGGGAGGTGGGGAGAGTCAGGCCCCATTGCTGATACATGTACTGATACACCACAGATACATCCCATTCTAAGGGATGGAGTGAGACCCATAAGCCTCAAGTTGATACATATTAATACATCACATTCTAAAGGGGGGAGAAGATGTGACAAAAACCCCCTCCATGACTGATACACAAGGATACATCACCTATATCGTAGATACATCATGATATATATGGACACACGATCTAAGAGTGAAATGTTTGATACATATGACAAGTCCTGTTCTAAGGGGTGGGGTCAGACCTGCCGATCCCATGCTGATGCACAGCGATACATTACATTCTAAGGGGGCGGGGCGACAAACACCACCCCTTCCACAGCAGATACATAGGGATACATCACATTCTAAGGTTCCAAAGATTAATACGTAACGACAAGTCCTGCTCCAAGGAGCGCAGTCAGACCTCAGAGCCCAGGTTGATACATGCCGATATACCACATTCGGGGGGTTATCTTTCACCCCTCCGCCGCCCCCATGGCGGATTCATATATGGATTCATCGCATTCTAAGGGCCCAATGGCTGATACATAATGACACATTCTGCTCTAAGGGGCGGGGTCAGACCGCGGATACATCACCATCTAAGAGGGCCCGGAGGGGAGGGGGCGAGGTGCGGACATTCCCAGTTCTACGGGGCGGGGGCAGACTCTCAGACCCCCAAATGTTACTGCCCATTGATACACCCATACTGAAGGCCCCATGGCTGACACATCGATGCACGCTGCTCCAAGAAGGCCTGGCCGGCCGGGGTCAGCCAACCTTCGGACACGGCCAGTCCCAAGGCGAGGGACCGGCTCCACGCGGGGTGGGGTGGGGGCGTCCCCCTCGTCCGAAGGGGCCGCCTGCGCGTCGCGGCCCCGCCCCCTGCGGGCGCTGCCCGTGACCTCTTACCCCGGGCGCGCGGCGGCAACGGCGGTCACATGACGAGGGCCAACATGGCCGCCGCCGCTGCTGGGAGCTGAGGCGGCGCCGCCGCCGGGCAGCCGCGGGGAATCCGCCCGCATCGGCGGCCTCGGGGCCGGGCGGGGGCCGGGGCGGCGGCGCGGGGGCCGGGGGCGGCTATGCCGAGGGCCCGGAGCCGCGGGCGCAGCGGGGCGGCCGGCGTGGGCGGCGGCAGGAGGGAGGAAGTAGGTTTGTTGACACGGGCCGGGCCTGGGGGGAGGGGCGGGGCGGCCCCGGGGAGGGAGATGGGGCCGGGGAGGGCAGGGGAGGGGGCCTCGCTTGCAGGCGCCCCACTGCACCTCACCCCACCTCACCGTGCTCCTCTCCTTCCCTCCGCTCTCCGCTGCCGCCTCCGCCGCGCCGCCCGCCCGGATTTCCCCTCAGACCTTCCTGAGAGTGAGAGCCAACAGGCAGACCCGGCTGAATGGTGAGTCCAGACCCTAGAGCCCTCCCCTGCCCTGGGCATCCACCGAAACTGCACGTCAGTCACTGATACGGGGACGGTGGGATTGGGCGCTAGAAGGCACTTGGAGAGCTTCAGAGGCCAAATGAGCGCATTTTACAGATGGGGAAACTGAGGCTCAGAGCCTTTAGCACCTCAGATCTACAGCCAGAAGAGACCTTAGAGGTTATTTAGTTCTACTCCCTCATTTTACAGAAGAGGAAACTGAGGCTCATGTAAGTGAAGGGACTGGTCCAAGGTCACCGGGGTACTACATAACAGCCAGGATTTGCACCCAAGTCCTTTGCCTCTAAATCCCCTTCCCTGAAGGCACACAGCTAGTCAGCAGCAGAGCTAAGAGCCAAACCTTCCCTCTGATCCTCCTTTCAGAAGCCTTCCCACTTCCCCTGGGGCAAGAACAGGGAGCCATAGCACATTTTGGGGACCATCTCCAAGCAGGCCACAGCTGCTCCCCCTTGGGGTGCTGGAATTGGGTACTGATACTTGTGGTTCCCCACTCCCCAAAATTCTAGAATCTCCTCACCCCAGGCCCCTGACACAGGCAGTAGGGAGAGGCCCAAGGCAGCCTGGCCGTGACCCCCAGCTTCAGCCAGACCTCCTGCGGTGGAGGAAGAGAAGGAGAGTTAGCTCTGCTCCTTTCTTTCTGTCTTACCCCAGGCAGCCTCTGGAGCCCCAGCTGGTAGCCAGCCCTTGCCTTGCTGTAGGCTCCAAGCCAGGGAAGACTTGAGTTGAAATCTCATCCCTGCCCTAGAGTGACCGGAGGAAGTTCCTTCCCCTCTTAGTGGCCAGAGTAGCCCTTAAGACTCATCACTTGAGGGAAGTTGCCCCCTGGGCATCCCTTTCCACACCAGTGCCGTCATGGATCCAAGTTAAAAAACAAAACACACTGGGTGCCGTCAGCTATAAACAAAGCCGTCCTTACCCTCCCAGAACTTACAGTTTCCCCATGGGACAAGGGGCGTATGTGTGTAAAGTAAACAAAATGTCCACAAGGTGGTTTCAAAGAGCTGGATGAAATTTGTGCCTGAACCAGGCTATGAAGGGAGCTGGGGATGCCAAGAGGCGAAAGTCAGTCAAGTCTGCAAACATTGATTAAGTACCTACTGAGTGCCAGGTACTGAACTGAGCGCTAGAGATGAAAAGAAAGGCAAAAATCGAGCCCTGATCTCCCTGATCTCCCAGAGCTCTAGTCTAATGGGAAAACAGCATGCTGCTACTGTGTACTTATGTGTGTCCACAGGGGAGAGGCTCCCAGGGAAGGTGTTAGCATTAAGAGGGATTAGGAAGGGTTTCTTGCCGAAGGTGGGGTTTCAGCTGAGATTTGAAGGAAGCCGGGAGGCTGAGATGAGGAGGCACAGCCATCGAAGATGCCTGGAGTCAGGAGATGGTGTGTCCTGTGCAAGCAACAGCCAGGCCCAGTGTCACTGGAACAGAGTGAGAGGAAGGAAGGATGCTTTAAGAAGAATGGTGGGAAGGGCTTTGAAAGCCAAAGAGAAAATTTTGTATTGATCCCAGAGGTAATAGGGAGCCATGGAAGTTTAGTGAGGGGGTGGGAAGGGATATGGTCAGATCTGCCCTTTAGGAAGATCACTTTGATAGCTGAGGGGAGGATAAATTGGAGTGGGGAGGCTTGAAGCAAGCAGACCCAACGGCAGCTACTGCAGCACTCAAAACGTGAAGTGATGAGCACCTGCACAGAGTGGTGGCAGCCGTGGAGGAGAGAAGGGTGCGTATTTGAGAGATGTCATAGAAGTGAAATCAGTAGGCCTTGGCAATGGATGCGGGCGGGGGGGACGATCCTGAGGTTGTAAGCCTGGGGCGACTGGAAGATTAGTGGTACCCTCCCCCCAACCCCAGCAATAAGGAAATTACAGAGAGGGGAGAGTTTGAGTTCTCTTTGGGACGTGTTGAGCTGGAAATGTCCGTGGAACATTCTAATTCAGAATGTCTAATAAGCAGTTGGAGGTATGAGACTGAAACTCAGGAAAGACACTAGGGCTTGGGGCAACTAGCTGGCGCAGTGGATCGAGCTCTGGACTTGCAGTCAGGAGGACCCGAGTTCAAATCCTACCTCAGACACTTGACACTTACTAGCTGTGTGACCCTGGGCAAATCACTTAACCCCGATTGCCTCACCAAAAAGCAAAAACAAAACAAAAAAAGACAAATAAACCTGAGATCATTTCCATAGAGTTGATAGGTAAAATTGTGGGCACTGAAGAGAGCACTTAGTGAGATAGAGAAGATGGATTGTCCCAGGCCAGAGTCTTGGGGGACCCCCCAAAAGAAGGGGCTTGACCTAGAGGAGGATCCATCAGCTGGGTAGGAGAAAGCTGTGGCAGGGAAACCTGGAGAGAGGAGAGCACGAAGGAAAAGCGGCTGTTGGCCAGTTCGGGGGGCTGTGGCAGTCGATCAGAAAGCACGAGGATGGAGAAAAGGCTGTTGAATGTGGTGAAGGCACGTTGGAGTCTGGGCAGAGGCCTCAGGGCCGAAGACAGAATGTTGAGGAATAGCACGTGGTCAGTTTGGCCAGAATGTGGGACATGTGAGGGGAAGAAACAGCAAAGCCATGTGGAAAGATAGACTAGAACCACCAGGCAGTGGGGAAGCACTGAAGCTTCTTGAGTGAAAGTGACCCGGTGGCAAGCCTCGGCTGTTGGCCCTCCAGCTGCAGGGAGTCCACGGGACTCATCTGCACACACCTCACCTAGGAAGAGGACCAGAGGACTGAGGAAAGATTTAGAGTCAAGTCTAATAGCCTCAATTTACAGACAGGGAAACTGAGGCCCACAGAGATGAAGGGATTTGCCCCAAATCTCACAGGGAATAAATAGCAAAGTCCTCACCCTCCAGTTCTAAAGCCACTGCTTTTTCCACTGCCAAGGAGTCCCTTTATCCCTCCTGGTACTATGATGCAGGTCATGGGCGAGAGCACTAAGGCTGGCCTGCGGCTGCCGGCATCACCCACCCAAGTATACTTCCTCTGGGGCAGAGGAAGTGGGAATCCTTCCCCTCTGGGGTCCTTGGGCCAGGACACCCATCACCACAGGGCAGGCCATTCTGCCCCTCCAGCTGGCATGGCCTGGTTTTTCACTAGCTGCCTTCCCTGCAGTCCATCTTCATGGAGCCGTCTCCAGCCAGGACCCCAGGTTTGTCCGGGGGAGCCCCAGAGCACGATGCAAAACAAGATTGGGAAGAACAGAGCCAGTCTCTCCCTGGCCACCTTGGTTTTTCTGTCTGTAAAAGCTGTGGGAGATGATCGCTAGAATGCCTTCTTTCTCCAGAGCCACTGTCCTGTGCCCAGCTGTCCCCCAGGCCCATATCTACTCTGCCCCAAGTCTTGCCCAAAGCCGAGTGTCTGCTGGCAGTTTCCTCCTCAGGCCATGATGGCTTTGAGATGAGGCCCCTGGCTCGAGGTTGGCAGCCCACTGGCCCCAGTGCTGAGCTCAGAGAGGAATGGCACCTTTCTGCCCAGCCTCAGACACTTGAAAAGATGGCCCCCAGAAGCTCTCTGGGAACTCGGCCTTCTTGACCTCTCCCAACATCACTGTGTGCTCAGTGCTTCTGCTGCCCACACCGCCTCTTTGGGCATCTTTGGCCACATGCCAACTGAGCACAGTGGTTCTTGAGTCCCATGGACTGTAATGTCCAGCCCTCCAGCCCTCAAGATCACAAGAACTGTTAACATCACAGGGTTTCTCTGGAGGTCAAGGATCAGGGCTCAGCGGCTTCCTGACTGTAAGGGAAGGAGCTCAGAATTTGGAGTTAGGTCGCCTGCAACATTCTACCTGTGTGATTGTACACAAGTCATTGCATCACTCAGTGCCTCAGTTTCCTTATCTGTCAAATGAGGTTAAACCAGGAATCTCTAAGGTCCCTTGCAGCTCCAGCATTGGGGAGAATGAGATAAGCTCTTTCTTCCTGCAGGGTGGCGAAGCTCCCTGGGCTCCCTGGGCCTGGCAGCTCTGGCAAGGGAGGAGAAGGGGGTCGAAGTCTCCTCCAGCATCTCAGCCTCTTGGCCTTCACTGGTACCTTACAGGGGAGAGGAGAGAATGGGGCCACCCTTTTTGCCCAGGCAGGGGTTAGACATTGCATAGCCCCTTCTGCCCCAGATTCCCATCAGGCCCAGCCCCTGGGGTGCTAGCAGGGACGCAGGGCAATGGAAAGAGTAGGGGCTTAGAGTCCCCAGGATGCACCTTGGTCATTTATTATTTTTGTGACCTTGGGCAAATAATCTCAGCCCCAGCGAGCTTCAGTGGGCCACATCGTGGCAGCCTCAGTGACAGCCAGAAGCACTCCCAGGGCTTGGAGGGGGTGGGGGGACCATCTGGGAGTATGGATGGCTTTGCCAAGCCTAGTTTTTGGAGCTTCCCACAGCTGGGTTGGCCAACAAGTAGCCTGGGCTAGAAAGAAGATTCACTGTGCATCTGCCATCCTGGGGGTGTCCCTGGGGAAGGCTCAAGCTGTGTGGGAGGGGGTCTGTCTGCTCTGTGAAGTGGGAGTCAGACAGGACATCCCCAGGTCCCCAGGCCCCACCAGAGCTGCTGCTCTGGGGCTAACCCCAGTAGGGGCTATGGGTGCCAGGTTGGGCCTCTCCAGCCTGCCTGGGCCAGAAGGTCCAGGTGGGAAGGGGTTAAGTGTGTTCCTCCCCTCCCACTAGCTGAGCCCTCAGTAATAGGGAAGGCAGGCAGGCTGGGATGGTGGCTCTCCAAGGGTCCTCTGACAGCCTAATCATCATTATTAATGCTAATAAACATTAGTGAACTCCTCACCTCCCAGCAGAAGGTTGAAATAATCACTGAAGAGCCTAACTCCCCAGGAAGCTGTCAGTAGAGAGGCTGAAAAGAAAGCAGGCCAGGGTGGGGTTTGGGAGAGAGAGCCCCCCAGCAACTCCCCCCACCTCAAGGGCTGCCCCTGCCTTCCGGAATTCTGAAGCTCTGGGGCTTGGCGAGCTGGACAAAGGGAGGGATCAGTGAGCTAATTAGAAATGATCGCTCTTTCAGCATTAATTAGCTCTGCTCACTGGCCCACAGCCCCTGCCTCAGAGGCCACTCCCTCCCTTCCTCCCTGATTGGAAGTGATGGTGCTCTGGGGAGCACAGAACTCCCAAGATGCACCTGGGCTACAGCTAGAAACCTTCTACAGAAGTGACCCTTTGTGACTTTGAGCAGTCTCTAAGACCCTTTGGCCTCAGTCTATCCCTCTGTAAAATGGGGTAGCTTTTAGTAGAGACAGCGCGATACAGTGGGAGGACCACTAGACTTGGTTAGAGTCAGAAGACCCAGGTGTGAATCCTTCCTTGACCTTAGGCAAGTCACTTAAAAGTCTCCCAGGGCCTCAGTTTCTTCATCTATAAAATGGGAGTAATGATGTTTGTGGGCAAACATTTCATGGACCATTGCCCTTCTCTCCGTCTCGGGGGGGAAGTATTGAACTGTATGAATTCTTAGGCCAGATAGGAGCAAACTCCAGTCAGCAGCCTGCCCACTGTGTACCCTGTCCGGACAGCCCAGTGCATGGCACACCATGGCATCTTTGCCCTCCAGCCTTTCACTCCTGGGTGTGTAGTCCACTCCCAGCTCCTGGGGTGCACCCTCGATAGCAGCCACTGTCTGCCCAGATGGACAGAGGGAGACCAGGCCTCTCTCAGCCCAGCTCCCTGAAGAGCCTTGAGCCTCCCTGCAGAGAGTTGGGGGGAGAGTGGGGATCACTGCAGAGGGTAGATATAGAGAAAGGCAGAGAGCAGGCCTCATAGGCCTCAGCTGGGTGGGCTTCCACGCAGGGTCATTGGGGACTGCATCATGGGTGCCTTGTGGTTGGTTTTTCTGTGTAGCTCGAATTGGGAAGATGAAGCGTCGGAAGCAGGATGAAGGCCAGGTATGTCCCCTGTGCAGCCGCCCCCTGGCAGGATCGGAGCCCGAGATGAGTAGGCATGTGGAGCAATGCCTTTCCCAGGTAGAGGTGCCACGGCCTCCCCCGCTCCCTACCCCCCACCCCCATCCCTCTGCCCAGACCTGGATGTCCCAGAGGGGCAGGGCTGCTGCCCACTGGCATGCCTCGGTTCCTGGGGGGGGGAGAAGGGAGGGCATGCCCAGCACCCTGGTCAAGCCAGGAGTTCCATGGGCCACAGCTGCCTGCTCTGCCTCCCCAGAGGGAAGGCTCCTGCGTGGCCGAGGACGACTCCGTGGACATCGAGACTGAGAACAGCACCCGCTTCGAAGAGTATGAGTGGTGTGGGCAGAAGAGGATACGGGCCACCACCCTCCTGGAGGGCGGCTTCCGAGGTAAGGGCCTCAGAGGGGGCCGGAGGCGTGCTCTGAGCATATTAACAGTCTTGGCCGGCGGTGGGGGGGAGTGACGACAGGAAGCGGGTTGATCAGCCCCGGTGATGCATCGAAGGTGACAGCTCAGGCGGCTTAGCGCCTGCATCAAATATTAAAGGGACGGTTATGCATTTATCACTCCATCCCTTTTAAGGTTGATAAATGAGAATCCGGCAACCCGCTGCACACCTCCAGCGCTTCGGGCCCTCAGGGCTCCCAGACAAACACATTTTATGTTTCCCTCCTTCTCCTTGTTCTCAGTGTCAGGGAAATCAGTTATAGAGGAAAGAGTGAGTTATGGCAAAATTTGACCTCCTGTGAGCTTTACTGGCGAATGTAATTTTAACTCCAAGCCTAGCCCCTCTCCCTCCATACCCTCAGCCTGACCTAGGAAGGAGCTAAGCCACACGGCTTCCTATCCCCTTACAGCCCCCAGGAAATCTCAGGGCTGGGGTGCAGAAGACCCCAGGACTGGCCATGAACATTTCTGAGACCCCAAGGGGAGCAGTTGATCATTGTGACCATGGCAGAGATCTTGGGCCTGTCTGTGGTGATGTCTTGATTTGGGGGAGAGGGTCCCCATATCTCCCACATCTGTTCATAATTTAAGCAGCAATGACCTGGAGACCAGGGTTGAGCCTTCTTGGCCATGTCCAGGGGCAGAACCAGTCCTTGGAGAGTGGGATCTGTTGTCAGCCAAGTTGGGACTGCTGCCTCTGCAGGGCCCAAGAGGGAGGCTCATTCCCCTCCTGGCTTGTAGTAGTACAGATGGACACCCCACCTTTGCCCACCTACTTCCCACCTGTTATGGGAAGCCGTAGAGGGATGGTACTCTGTGAGATGGGCAGGGCTTGGTGTACCCCAGGGGAGTGTCATGCCCGGGAAAGTCTAGCCCCAGGGTAAGCAGGTTGTGTTAGGAGAGGCGAGCTGTCTCCCAAAGAGGGTGGGTCCCCATGGATCCTCATTCCCATGGAGGAATGGTCTGGCACAAAGCAGAATTGGGATTTTCAGAATCTAGATGAGAATTCTGAGTGCATCTGGCCAGCGCTGCCCAAGGGGCTGATCAGTGAGGGAGGCCATCTGCTTCCCAGCCCCCTCCAGCTCTTTCAGAGACCACTGTCCCATCTGTGTTGCCCTCTAACCCCAGCAGTGGGTAGACCAGGAAGGTGCTGGACCAGGCATTCTTTCTTCCCCTGGCTGAGAAATGGGTCAGGTCTAGTCTAGGGTCTTATCTTAGCCCCTTGTTGAGGTTACTACCCATGCTGCAGATGGTAGACTGAGGCACTAAGCCTAGAAGCTGGTACAGTGGGATCATAGGATCATAGAGGCCTTAAGAGGCCATCAAGGCTTTGTTTGATGATGGAGAAACTGAGGCACAGAGATGCTAAGTGATTTGCCTGGGCTCACACAGCTAGGAATTGTCTGAGGAGGGATTTGAACCCAAGACTTCCTGACTCCAAGGCTAGTACATTCTCTTGTCACCCCCCTGGAGAAAGGATGATACTGTGAAAAGAATGCCAGGCCCCAACCCTATACCTTAGATGCTGTGTGACCTTGGACAGTCTGTTTCCCCTCAGTAGGTCTCAGGGGCTTGGCCTGGGTAGGCTTGGGATCCTTTCCAGAGCCCAGCCTCCACTGTGCAGAGCAGCTCTTGGGGGTCCAACGATCTTCTCGCAGGCATGTTGGCACGGGCAGGGGGCGGGGAAGGAGGTGGCACGGGATGCAGCCTCCCATGTACAAGGAACAAGTGGCAGCTCTTGCCCTGGGGAGTTGGAATTCTGGCATCGTCCTCTCCCTTGGAGTGGTGTGGACACCTCACCATGCCAGGACGCCTCCTACATGGCACGCTTTGAAGTTGTTTTAAAAATACGAACTAGTTGCGCATTTCTGGCCCCAGATGTTTACTCCATAAGGTTCTCCCTTTAAAGAATTGCTGGGGGGGGGCTCACGAGGGGCTGGTCTTTGAATGATTTGGCGAGCGTGCACGGCTGTGTGTGGGACTTGAAAGGCGGGGGCTCCTTTATCTACAGAGAAGTGTGCCCGCTTCCCCTGATAGAAGCTGCTGTCATCTCTTAACCAGCTTAGTGCAGTCAGAAGGCAAGCCCACTTGAAACACTGTTTTACACAAGGATCAATAGCGGACACAAAACCAGTGGTGGGGAAGCAGGTGAGGGGGGAGCCCAGAGGGCTCTCTGAGGCCGGCCTGATAGCGGCAGGCCAGAGGGGAGGCTTCTGAGGCCCCGCTGGAGCCCAAGCAGCCGCAGCCCATGAAAGGGCTGCCTCCAAGGGCCGGCCACTGCAGAGACGGGTGCTCCGGGGGGGGGGGCCTGGGCGTGGTCCTGGGGGGGTGGAGGGCCACGCTCGTGTCAGGGCATCGATTGCCCCTCCATGAGCCGAGCCTCGAGCCTTGGGTTGGGAGCCCGGGCTGGCGGCCGCGTGCGTAATGTGATTGAAAGGCAGTTAAAATGGCGGTGACCTTTTCAGGAGGAATTAGATTGCCTGCCAAGACCGGTTAGAGGGAGTGATAACGCCGGCTTGAGGACGCTGTCCAGCAGACTTGAGAGAGAGAGAGCCACAGACAGGGACAGAGGACAGCATGGGAGAATCGGGGATCAGTTCCTGCTCCGTGCTCATCCTCTCTGCCCCCCACCCCTCCCCTCTGGGAGCTCTTCTTTTTGAGCCCATCAGTTGTGTTGAAAGCAATCCGCCTGCTGCCACAGGAGCAGCAAGTCCTCAGGGCAGAGGGAGGCCCGGGAGGGCAGCAGCCACGGGTGCAGCCTGACGGAGCTGTGACCCACACAGGGCCTAGCAGTGGCCCATGTGAAGATAGGAAGACATGGCCTGGTCTGAGGAGCCACAGAGACTCCAAGGGAATAGAGAAAGATCCCCTTGGGCCCCGCCTGATGAAGAGGGCACCTCTGGACCTTGGTGGGGGGGGTGGAATCATGGAGTTTCAGTCCAGAAGAGTGGTAATCACAGGAAAAGCTAGCATCCAGACTCGGGGCCAGGAAGTGTTTCCTGCTGCCACGTCCCTGCCACCTTGGGGCTGGGAGGACTAGTAAGGGGGAGAAGGTTTTGCAGGTGCCTTCACTTAAACCAAGGACAATTTTGTGTGATGCAGTAAAAAGCATTGAGGCCTGAGGCTCTGCCACAGACTCTCCGGGTGACCTTGGGCGAGTTCCTTCTCCTCTCTGGGCCTCAGTTTCCTCCTCTATAAAATGAGAGGGCTAGACTCCGTATGGGTGTAGCAGGACCCATCAGAGGCTCATTCCTGGGCCTGTTTCTGAAGCTGACCCAGAGAGGGTGAAATCCAGAGGGGGCTTGTCTCCTGTTGGGAGGTGGGGTCAGGGACCTGGGCTCATGTGACCGCAGCCTGCCTGTCCACCATGCTCCGTGGAGTTAAGGTCACACCAAAGAGAGAGGAGATGGGCCGACCCCATTTCAATACAGAGTTGGCCTTCATGCCTGGTACTGGAGCAGTGAGATGGAGAAATCTCCCAAGAGACAGGCAAGGAAATGGAAGGGACCTGCCGAGGATCCCACAGTCCTCTCAACCAATGAATTGTGAAGCCTATACTTAGCCCTATCACCAAGCCGGGCAGAAAAGGAATGAAAGAGTCTGTCTGGAAATACAGCCAGCCTGGGCAGCTTCCAGCCATTTTCTCATTACATCCTAGAAACGGCCCCTCAGAGGGCCTGGCTTCTCAGGGGAGGGGTGTGTGTCCCTGGCTCCCACCCGAAGGCCTCATTCACCTTTCATTTGAGGACAACACAATGTCAAGGCTACTCCGGGCTCATCCAGGGAAAAGCTGCTGGAGACAGATGGTCCATCAAGCCTGAGGCCTGAGCCGGGGGGGAGGGGTCCTGATGGTGTGGCACCTGCCTTCAGTGGGGCGGCAGGGGCAGCCTGGCTCCCCACCCTCCACCCCATGTGGCAGAGGCCACGGCGGCCGCCCCTGCTGTCTGGCACAGGAGGTGACAGGTGTTGGAAGCAGCTAGCATCTGCTTTTGTCGTAGATGCTAAGGAGTGACGTGGGGATTGGGAGGAGGAGGTGCGTTCTTCCATAGGACTTGGCTGTTGCCGAGCCCTCCGGCCTTCTGGCCCTGGTGTGGAGTGTGGGTGCACGCTGCTGGAGTGACACAGTTGTCGAGTCAGGGACAGTGAAGGAAGCAGGGGCTGGGGGATCGGTGGGCTTGGACGTCGCCGCCTGCCTGTGTCTCTTCTGACGTGCGCCAGCAAGTGAGGCAGTGAAACGCATTATCGAGTGGTGCCCGGAAAGTGGCTAACTGCGTTTGACACACGCCAACTCCCTGCCTCCACACTGGATAATTGCATTGTCAACTGCTCAGCCAAGTGGCAGGTGACAGACACTGCCGGCCGATTGATTGTCCCGGCATCGCCCAGGCCGGCTCTGAGGACTGTCAGGCCCCAATCGATGGCGTTTACACAAGCCACCACAGCGGCATCGGTAACTAATTTCAGCTGGAAACTCATCTGCAGCAGACACCCCAGCCTGCCTCACCCCCCGCTGTCCCATCCTGGGCCCCCCCCCCCCCCAGATTCCAGGACTTTACCTCTCCCAGCTCACATACATCTCTGGTTTCTCAATCAATATGCTGATCAATTGATTAAATTAACACTGGCTTTCTTCTTACTGGCCCAGGAACAAAATGAGTTTGGAGGAGAGGGGATTATTTTATGAAATTCAGACCTTGTTATCATTTCAGCACCTGCCAGCCCTCCCGCTAGTCCCTCTTCTAGCTCATTTGCAGGGCTTGCCGTGGGCCAGGGTTGGGCCCAGCTCCCGAGCCTCCAGGCTAAGGCTGCTCCAGCTGGGGGTTCTCTTGCCTCTCAGGGTCAGGCAGGAGGAGCCCCAGAGCACCTGACCAGGCTAAGCTCAGCAAAGAGAGCGTCCCTTGCTTTTCAGAAGTCGGCAAGCAGCAAGCTTGGGCACAAAGATCAGTCATTCCAGAGTAGTAGGACTTCCAGCAAAAGAAACTTAGCAGTCGTCTGCTTCTACCTCCTTTGACTGTCGGGGCTTCTGATGTTCAGAGATGGGGAAGATACCCTTCAGTGCCCCAAGGAGTAGTCCGTGGGCTGGGTGTAGCGAACCTTTCCTGGAGCCTGGGGGAGGGGCTTACCTTGGCCCATCTCTACTTAGCGGGCCAGAGGTTGGGGGCAGCGCTTCTTTGACAGCCCCTCAGAGTCCACAGCAGGGCTAAGATTGCTTCCTAGGCCATCTTGCCTGCAAATGCTATTTTGGGATGTTTCAACAGCTGAAGTAAAAAGATTCGCGGCCTTTCCAGGCCAGGGGGCCTTCTGGGGAATCCGCATAAAATGACTTTACGACCATTTCTTTTTATTGGGATTCTGTGAGAAGTCAGCGAGTGACATTTCATTAAGAAAATAAAGTTTAACAGGCCAGGGATCAGAGTGTATAGACTTGGCAGGATTCTGTCAAAACGTTTGGGGGAATAGAAGGGGCCCATCCCCTCGTGGGGCTGGGGGGAATGCCATCTGTCACCTAAAGTACTCACCCATGGACTATCCCATGAAGACCCAGCTCAGCGATCACATGCTGCTAGACCTGAGAGCTTCTAGTCTATGCCACTCATTTTACAGAGGAGGAGACTGAGGCCACAGGGGCCTAAAGGACTTCACCAGGGTTGCCCACGTCATTGGTAGCAGAGCTGGGGTTTGAAAGGAGGTCTCTGACTCAGGTCTATCGATCTTTCTAAAGCTTCCCAGCTCACAGTCTGGGAAAGGGAAGCTGGGACTGAGGCCAGGCTCACACAGCACTGAGGAGACCACTCTGGCCTCTCTGAGTCGTCCAGGTGAGGGCCAAAGCAGCAGAGAGCATGTGCACCCCCTCAGATTAGCCCTTGTACCATCAGGAGAAGCGGGGGTGGACCGTAGGCTGGCTGTTTCTGCTGCCTTGTTTACAGGCTTCGGGAAAAGAGAGGCCATGGGGCGCTTGAAAGGCGAGGCAGAGTTTGTTAATGATTTGGGGCTCTTAAACACCTTTGGGGTATTTATTTTAAATCATTTCTAAGAAGCTGAGACCCCTGTAACCCCGCCTGAGCGGGCAGCGGCAGGCAAACAGCCGCCAGGAGGATATGAAGTTGACCTCATCACTTGTCACTCACTGAAGGTGGCCCTTGGCTTCCGTAGCCCCTGGCAGAAGCAGAAATAACTTGATTTGGTGAGCATGGGGCCAGCAGCCCCCAGAAAGCTGTGTGTACACAGTGCTGGGGGCTGGGGGGAGCTGCAGCCAGCCTGATAGGTATATCCTGATTGATGGGGGAGTTTGTCTCCCAAACTGTCAGAGGGTTTATGGAGGTGCCACTCACTGGTGAGGCCGAAATTGCTTCTCAGAACACACCTGGCCAGTCACAAGACCCATGGAGACAGCTGCCAGCTGCCTAGTAGCTTTGTTCTGGGGGGGGGGGGGGGAACGACACCTGCTTCCTCCCTCCCAAAAGGGCTTTGGCAGGTAATCGGATCTCTAGAGCAGCCCAGAGACCTGCACGATCCAAACATTCATTCAGCAAAACTTTGTTGGATGTCTGCCCATTGTATATATCTTGATTCTTTGAAGACCCATTTCTCTGAGAGTGGGTGGACAGTGAGAAGTGCCCTGTGGCCTCCCTAGGACAGAGGGTATATGGAAACTCGGTGCTGTTGCCGCCAATGGGGCATAATGTGGCCTAAAGCCTCTTCCCTCCTGATGGTGTGTTGTGGAGTCAGAAGGCCCTGGATGCCTGCGTAGCATGGCCATCATGGGTCGGTGGCCTTCAGGAGTGTGGGGCCCAGTGCCCAGGCGCCAGGGAAGGGGAAGGAGCAGGTGTGAGCATGTATCCCGCTGGGGCCATTCTCCCTATCAGTGTGTGACTGCTCTTGTCCAGGAATCTGGTCTGAACGAGGCAGGGATGAATAATTAATGGCAGACAGTCCAGACACCAAATATTTGAGCAGCTGCTTGGTGATTCTGCTGGCAGGGACCTGGAGGCAGAACCAAGAAGCCGGGCCCCCGGGGTCATGGTGAGCCCAGCTGTGGCAGAGCAGGGCATCCCCGTTTGGGCACAGCCTGCTCAGGTCTACGCTCCAGGCAGGGTGGCACGCCGGGCTCTCATGGCTAAGTGAAGTTGGAGGGAAGGCCTGAAGCACCCGTTTGGCCTTCACTTCTGGCTCTCAGAAAGTCAGGAGTAGGTAGGCCAGTGAATATGAAGGGTTTTGAGCTGATATAGAAACATCTTAATGGAGGATTTCTCTCTCTCTCTACCCCCCACCCTGGGTAGGCCTGGGAGGGCCCTGGGCTATCCATCCTATTATCTCTACTCTTCTACTAGGTTCTCCGAATCCTTCCTCAGTTTTTCCTCTAAGGTCTCAAGATACAAAGCAGGGCCCTGTTTGGAAGCAAGGCCAGGGCCAGAGCTGGTGGGAAGGGAGGCTATCAACCCCTTGCATGTCAGGCTGCAATGTGCTATCAGTGCTTCAGAATGGGAGAAATTATGTTGAAAGAGGTCTGGACTCTGGTGGGTGGGCAAAGGCTTACTGTGGCATCTTTTTAGGGAAGCATGGCAGATCAGGACAGGTAAAGAGGGGCCTTGAATGTCAGGCCAGAGGAGTTGGGCCTCGTGGGGGTCTGTCAGGGGTCACTTAAGACTCAGGTTCAGCAGTGATTCCAACACACTGGATTTTCTCCAAGAAGAGCTACAGGCATGCACGCACGCGCACATGCACAGGTAGGCTGCCTTGCCTTTCTCACCCCGTGGTATCTTTCTCCCCACAGGCTCCGGCTTCATCATGTGCAGCGGCAAAGAGAATCCAGACAGTGACGCTGACCTGGATGTGGATGGCGATGACACCCTGGAGTATGGGAAGCCCCAGTATCCTCTAGGACACATTTGGGAAGGGTGGAGCATGTGGGCTGCCCCTAATCCCACCCCCCCACCTGCGTGCTAAGACACCAGCTGGACACCCTGCGCTTAGTGCCTGGGGTTTACCCAGCTAGCGGCCCCATTGGGAGCCTGTGCCATGAAATCAGGGACCTCAGCAGCCCTAACCCCTCATTCGAAGGGCTTGGGGAGCCTGCTCTTCAAAGCCTCCCTGTCCCTTGAGTGAAAGCTTCCAGTTGTGGCAAGCAAAGCCAATTGACACCACCTTGTACGCTGCAACCTTCCAATGCTTGGGGAGACCACCCCCCCACCCCCCATGCCTTCCCCAAGTTAAGTCTCCCCAGTCACTTCTACCCATCATTTGACGGCCTCTTCACTCATCTCCTAACATGGTCTGACCTTGCCCTGATCTGGAGGGTACCAAGAGGCCAGTGAGACTTCTGCTGGGCAGTATTTACCTTAACCTGTGTCCAGGTATACTGAGGCCGACGTCATCCCATGTACTGGTGAGGAGCCAGGTGAAGCCAAAGAGAGAGAGGCTCTTCGGGGAGCTGTGCTAAAGTAAGTTTCCAGTCCGAGGAGGGAGGGGGGCTGGTCAGGGCAGCTGCTGCCCCCTCGTGGAGGCCACGTGGAACGCTGCTGGGGCAGCCCCCTCACTGTCTCTTCTACTCCCCCACCTGAAGGCCTCACTGCTTCTCCCCTTCCCTTGCAGTGGCGGCACACCCAGTACTCGGATAACACCAGAGTTCTCTAAGTGGGCCAGTGATGGTGAGTCCTGAACTCCGAGGAGGGGCAGAGCTGGCAGCTGAGGCCACCTCTGGTCCTGCTGGCAGGGGGAGGGACACAAGAACATTGGCTGCCTTGGCCCCTGCTGCGCAGCACTCCCCATGGGCCCCCCAGAGCATCCATCACCTGCTCCCCTCTTGTGTGGGCCCCTCACCCTGGGAATAGGCCGAGGCAGTACAAAGGGGTACCTGACGAGAGGCCTCAGAAGGCACGAGTTAGTGTGCGTCCCTACCAGGGAAGCTACACCCCTGCTCTAGGGACCTGACTTCCTGCTTTTCCTCTAACACTTGGGCCAGGGACAACCGAGATTGGGAGAGGAATCCACTCTGGTCAGGAGCTGTCCATAAGCTAGCACCTCTGCTCTGGGGACCGGGCCATCTGTCCTCCCTCTGATCTCTCAGGAGCAGCCCAGATTGGGAGGGAGCCTGCTCTGGGAACATCCAGAGCCGGGGATGGGGCTAAGTTTCTTCTTCTCTGGCAGAGATGCCCTCCACAAGTAATGGTGAGAGCAGCAAGCAGGAGGTGGCCATGCAGAAGACATGCAAGAACAGTGACATTGAAAAGTGAGTGTCCGGGGGGCCTGAGGGTGGAGGGAGGCCTTTCTCTGGGCTGAGCCTGCGGGTGGCAGCAGGCAGGGAGGAGGGAGAGGAACCAAGACTGAGCGAGAGGCAGGCGAGCTGTCTGTGGCTGCCCAGACTGAATTGATAAGCGGGCCCGGCCCAGAGAGCCTCGGAGTGCCTGCCCGCGAGCCCCGCCGCTGAGCTGTGATATATGGCAGCCCAGCCCAGCCACAGCAGCTGATTCATCTCCAGTTTCTGTTTCTTAATCGGGAGCTAAATTGGTTTCATTTTTCTTGTCCCGGGTGTTGCTCGCGGCAAGTTGAGGCAGAACTGTTGGACTTCGTCATTCGTAGCTAGAATTTTTTGGCCTTGGTGTGGCCAGTGTGGGTCAGGGGAGCATCTTGTTAGTGCCCCCCAGTCCTCTCATCATCAGTGGTCAGGGGGCCTGAGATGAGGCTTGTGTCCCATTTTCAGAGAGCTGCCTGGGATGAGGAAAGGCTTGTCTACCCTCCGTAACCGAAGCGTTAGGGAGGGCGGCTCTGGCTCACAGTTCTGTGCCCTGGAGCAATGCCCCAGCCCCACAGTGCTTTAAGAAGTTGGTGTCATCCTGAGGTTCCAGGGGCAGCTCGGGGGAGGCTGCAGGTGGCTTAGGTGCCCCCTTCTTGCCCTGGAGGTGCTGCCCGAGTTCGGCCCCCACGTGGGAGCTGGGGTCGTGTGGGGGGAAAAGGCAGCATCTTAATTCCGAGGGCCAATGTTCAATTTTGCTTCCTGCCACCAAAGTAGATTGCAGGCCAGCGTGCGAGTCTGGCTTCCTGGCCCACTGGGTCACCTCCCATTTGTTTTCCTCAATTTTCTGTTGTCATAAATTCATTCCAGCCCGTTGTGGTTGATCAGTTTATCTCGGTCGGGGCAGAGAGCGCTGCTAGCATGATATATGACATGAAACGTTTTAGCCAGCCTCTCCATGAATCACTCCAGCTGCTCCGTGTCAGCGGCAAGGCAAACAGGCCCGTGCGGCCGACCGGGCCGCCGATGAGCTCAGGATGGGAAGAGACATGACGTATGAATGTTTATTTAATAATTCTCTAATATTTCCAGCCGAGTGTGGTTGTGCCTTCCGAATGGGGGCTGGGGAGGGGTCGGGGGAGGGGAGCGAACTCTAATCTGGAGGAGCCGGTCATAAATCAGGGAGACAACATCATTAATCAGGGAAGGAGGTGGGCCCAGGGGCCACTGGCTGTCCTGTGCGGCCGGGCCTAGACTGTCAGGGCCAGGAGAGGACCAGACCAGCCGAGATGGAGGCCAGTGTGGGTGGGTGTGCGGCATGTGTGTAGTGTCTGTGTGCATGTGCAGGGGGTGGGGGCATGTTTTATAAAACAAGTCTTGATTTCCACGCTCCTTGCCTGGCAAAGCCTCGTGCATAATAGGCAGCGGGGGCCCCAGTGGGCAAGGCAAGTGTGTGAAACCTGGGATTTGAGTCGGCCGCTGCCGCCACCAAGCATTCAATCCGCTTGTAATTATCTCCTTTGGAGAACACTTCATGCCGGGCATGCTTCAGCAAGCGAAACGCTCGTTGGGTTAAGAAGGTTTGAGAGCAGGAGATGCTGCTGCGGGTTTGGCTTTTTCCTCTCTTCCGAAATGGCAGTTTTACAAAGCACTGGTCCCACCACATCCCTAGAGGTCAGGGGCACTGGGCACAGCTGGTGTTTTAGCAGAGAGGGTGCCCCAGGGGCCAGGTGTGGGCACAGCTCCATCCCAGCCCTGCTCCCAGGGCCTCCTTTTGGGATCCTGCTCACACGGTTCCCGTAGAAACCGGCTCCCAGCTCCGTGCTCTGAGCCAGCCTAAGGAAGGCGGGGAAAGAGCCACACATACAGACAGATACCCAGCTCCAGCGTGCTGAGGGAGGAGGGGTGGGTAGAGCCTGTCGGCTCCTTCTGTTAGAGAGTAAGCCAGGTGGTGTCTGGGGGACCCAGGGGGCAGGGCGGGGGAGAGGCTGCAGGGGGAAGTGGGGAGCAAGACGGACCCCATCTCCTGGTGGGACTGACCCCTCCCTCTTGCTGAGCTGTACTCTTCCCTTGGCCTCTTTGGCCCCAGCCAGTCAGAGCAGCCTCCACATCTCCTGACCCTTGACTGCCCTCAGTTCAGGGCTCAATTTTGCTAGTCTCTTAAATGGGACAGGTATGGTTTAACAGAACCACAAAGAGGAACTCCAGCAGCTGAGGCAGACACAGTACTGTCATTGCCAAGCTGAGGGTGCCCACGCCTGGCAGCCCAATACCATCTGCCCCATCGGGCAGTTACACTGGCCCAGCGAGGTCTAGCAAAGGGTTATGGTAATAATGGAAACTTTGTTGGGTAGAGTGGTAGCCCAGGACCAGATGAAGGATTGGGGGCAGATGGGGTAAGCCCCCCCCCCCATAACTGCCTGTGGAGTCTGGGAAATGGGACATAGGTCATTGTGTGCCCCTTCTCCCAGACTGGGAGCAGCCCGTAGCTCTACCTGACAGGCTGGGCTCTGTGGACGCCTGTTCTCTTGGGGGGACCATTAGCTCTCAATTATGGGGGAAACAAGCCAGCCCAGGCTGAAATTCAGCCTTGCCAGTCAAATCAGGAAGACATCTGGGAGGGATAAATAGTGACCCCAGAAGTCCCTAGCTGAGCTGTTTGGAGGGGACGAATGCCGTGGACCCGTGGCTGCAATGTCCCTGCTTAATAGTGCCCAGAGCCTGCTCTCTCTGGGAGGTGGTGAGGAGAAGTGGGCTTAGGGAGGGCAGAGGGAGCTGACTGAAAGCCCCCCTAGGCTCCTGACTCCCCCACCCAAAGTCTTCTGTCTGCCTAGCAAAGAACTGTCTTGTTCTCCCCTCATCAAGTCCTCAGGCTGTTCCCCTTCTCCTGGAGCTGGGCCTTCCTCCTGGGCCCTGGGACTTCATGGGAGGGGGCCCATATGCGTGTCGTGCTCCCGCCCAAGGGGTGACAGTCTGGGCTTAGCGGGCCTTGCCTTGGACCTGGAGGTAGGGCTGGGGGGAGGCAAAGGGGGATACGTGGCTGGGAGGACCTGCCACCTCCCGAGGACAGGCCAGAGGATTTATGGCGCTGCCTCTCTCTCCCTGGGCAAAATCTGGGGATAAATAGCATCATTAACATTTTAAATTACAAATCCCATGTCAGGCCCTGTTATTTACATGGGAGCACTGAGCGGTTTAATTACACAGTAATTGGCACCCAGCAGCAGAGGGGTGACCCCAGCTGGGGCTGCAGAGGAGGACGCCTTCCTGGGCTAGGCCTGTGAGCCCAGAGCTGTCCGCCAAGGCTCAGCCCTGCTGCCCAGGAGCTTTTGTCACCCAAAGGGGCCCTTCCATGTGTGCTGTGAACATGTACTAGAGAGCAGAGAGGAGGCGCTCAGGGCTGATGAGATCAGAAGGTCCATTGGGGCGCCTGGTTTCCTGCCTGGTGGTGACATCTTCTCTGGCTTGGGAAGAGCCCCAAGCCCCTTGGCCTGAGCTTAGCCATCCATTTCTCCCATCTTTCTGGGCTGGGGAACTGATGGGATCTGGGTGTTGGAGGAAATGGAAGAGCCTGGTCTGGTGATTAGAGGCTGTAATCAGAGGACAGGCTTCCAGGGCCTCCCTATGGGGCGGGGACCCAAGTGGAGCTGACTCCGGGACACAAGCCTAGGTCATATGTCAGTCAGTGTAAGGAAAGGGATGAGAGGGTGACATTTGTGAGACTCCATAAATACAAGTGCTTTTGGGGACCAGAGTGAGCTTCTGGCTGAGCCAGGAAAATGTTTGGAGGTTGGGGGCTTGCTTACGCCATCCTGGAGGCTGATTGCAAGGACTGGATGATCTTCAGAGTGGCTATGATTTGAGGACATGGATTTGGCCTGTGGACAACCCAGGAGGGGCAGGGACCCCCAAACCTGGAAATAAATGAGAGCTTGACTCCCTATCTGCCTCTCCTAACACAGGAATAATAACTCAATCAATAGTGCAGGTGTTTATTGCCCACCAAGGAGGGCAGGCACTTCCCAGCCAACAAGGCCCCAAGCTCCAGCCTGCCATCCATCCGTCCATTCTTTGGCCAGCCCAGTAGCTCCACCTAGTCCCCTTAACCCAGGAGGTGGCTCAGCTGCCAGCAGTCTCCCCGATGCCAGGGAGGTGGGGGAATGCAGCCCAGGCTCCAAAGCCTCCCCTATCTATCCCCCTTGGGTTCGGACCTTCCCTAGGGCAGGGGCCAGGGCTGGAGAAGGGTCTCTGGAGGTGGGGAAGGGGGTTCTGGCTGTGATTCCTGACTATGCCTATGCTTCACCCTGTCCCTATTACAGGATCACAGAGGACTCAGCTGTGACCACATTTGAGGCCCTGAAGGCCCGTGTTCGCGAGCTGGAGCGGCAGCTATCCCGTGGGGATCGATACAAATGTCTCATCTGCATGGTGAGAGGCCCGCCTGCCCAGGATCAGTCAGAAGGGCTGGGTGGTAGGAGGAGAGATAGGGTGCCTTCATCTCGTAGTGCCATGCCCAGGCAAGGAATTGGTGGGGAGAGCCGGGCGTGGGAGTGATAGCCCTCTTCTCTCGCCCTCTAGGACTCCTACACGATGCCTCTGACGTCGATCCAGTGTTGGCACGTGCACTGTGAGGAATGCTGGCTCCGGACCCTGGTAAGAAATGAGGTGGGGAGAGCAGCAGCAGCCAGTCGAGCTCCCCCCAACCCCACCCTGGGGCTCCTGGCTAGTCCGCGTGCTGCTGACAGGCCCTGCAAAGCCTGGCTCCATGGGCCACTCGCTCATGGGAAGCCATGGCCTGAGCAGCTGCAGTGGGCTGCCCTCCTTCCCAGCCTGGAACACAGAGCCGAAAGACTGCCTTGTCTTATCCCCACATCTGATAGGTAAGATGAGGCTCGAGAGGGAAGGGAAGAGATGTGCCTACAGACACAGACAGAATCAGTGACCAAGTCTGTGCATTGCTGCCTCTGCTGAATACCTGGCGTCCAACCTGGGCTTTCTCTGCAGGCTTCCAGATTCTCGAAGCCTCAGTGTCCCCACCTGTGAAAGATCACTGAGGCTCCCAAGACTCTTAAGTTGGAAAGAACACTTCTGTGGTATCTCAGAAACTCTGTGTGAGAGGAGGGGGAGCCTAGCCCCTGCCCGGGGAGACCTCTCACTCGTAGCTCTCCCTTGGACTAGGTTCTTAAAGGGCTCCGGCTGTGCCCTCTAGGGCCCCTCTTCCCATCCTTGGACAGCTCTCTCCTAACTCCCCAGTCTTCTCTTCCCCAGGTTCTTCAGCCCCTCCTCACCTGACCTGGACTCCAGGCCTTTCCCCCACCCCTGTCATCTTCCAGAGGAGAGCTGTCCTTGTCCTTCTTAAGCCCAGTGACTCCCAGAGCTGACTGAAGCACCTCAGATTTCATCTGACCACCCCTGCCATCCTGCATCAGACACTTCACTGAGTACTTTGTCCATCCTGCTGTCATGTGCCCCTCTTTCCCTCCCCTCTCTTCTAGAAGGGGGTGGGCTTAGTGCTTGGGCCCTTGATCTCATTTCCTACCACCCGCGTTCCTGGGCCCAACCCTATCTCCTGGCTCCTTCCTGCCCACCCATAAACGTGCCCAGATTGGCCCCTCTCTGCCTCCCCCTTAAAAAAAGCTTTTGCTCAGTTCTGCCGTCCCCTCCATCGGTGTCTCTCCTTTCCACAGCCCAGCTCTAGAAAAAGCTGCCTGTGCTCACAGCCTCCTGACCTCTCTTCCTGTGACTTCTCAGGCCGCTGGACCCTGGGCCACTCACCTGAAACTCTTGCTGCAGTGATCAGGGATCTCTTTGCCTGATCTGCTGGCTTCTTCTCAGGCCTCATCCTTTCTGAGGAGTCACGCTCTCAGTCACTTTCTCCTCCCAGATGCTCTCATGGTTCTCCTCCGACCACTCTGACCGCTCCTCAGTCTCCTTTGCTGCATCCTTGGACCACCCCCCATGTATAGCAGTTCTCCAGGCCTCTGGCCCAAGCCCTCTTCTCTCCTCTCTCTATACTCTCTTCTGGAAGATCTTGTCGGCTCTCTGTGCAGATAGAGCTTTCTGTGGACATGGAGAATTTCCCCCTCCTCACCCACCCCCAGTCTCTCTTCTGTGCCTCAGCCCCATACACCTGGATGCCCCCGGGGCATCAGTGATCACAGGAGTTGGAAAGGCCCTTGGGGGGCATGTGGACAGAATCATTCCCAAGAGCACTTTCTCCAGCTCAGCCCATCCAACAAAGGACTCAGGATCTCTCCCCAGACAGGCCCATTTCTGTGGCAGGCGCTGCCATCGCCAGTCACCCAGATTTCCCGCCTCAGGCTGTCCTCGGCTCCTGCCTTTCTCTCCCCTCCAGTCGTGTGCCCCAACCCTAGCTCGGGCTCTCCCTCGGCACTCAGTTTGCAGGAGGTGCCTCCTGCCCCACCTCTGCCTCTCCAGCCTTTCCTCCTCACATCCGCCAAAGTGCACCCCCAGCACCTAGCTGCCTCCTTTATGAAAACACCAGTGGCTCTCTGCTCCCTCTCTGATCGCACACAGACGACTCCGGTGAGCATTCAGAGCTTCCAGAATTGGGCTCCCACAGAGCTTGCAATGTGGATTACATGCTCTGTAGACAGTGCTGGCTGCTCTCAATAGGAGACATGTCACCTCCCGTCGCCGTGCCTTTGCACTAGCTGTGCTCCATACCTATAGTGTCCTCCTTATCCCCTTTGCCTCACAGGACACAAAGCTACCTTCAAGGTTCAGTTCATCTGCCACCTAAAAGCCTCCTTCTAATCCACTAGGTGCTAGCGCCCGCCCACCTTCCCTGGAATGATTTTGTATAAGCTTCGTTTTCAGTGGTTTACATACTCTATGTTCTTTCTGCTCAATGGAATATAAGCTCCTTGAGGGCGGGGCCCATTGAGTTTTTATCTTTGTATTCTCTGTGCCTAACACCATGCCTGGCATTTAATAGGCGCTTCATCTGTGCCTGGGGAGCTGAGGTAGTCAGAGGTCAAAGCGTCCATACCCAGCCGCTGTTTAACTCAGCGGAAGCTCCCAGTGACTCGTTGGCTGCCAAGCCCAGCTGACCCCTTGACCTTGCAGTTCATGCCTTGTAATCCCCCAGTCTTTTCCACACAGATGGCGTCCTAGCCTTGCCTCCCCTGTCTTGTACTCGTGGGCAAGACTGATGTTTTGAACCTAGATTTAAGACTCTACATTTATCCCTTTGAAATGTTTTTTGGTCCTGGGCCTGCCCCAGCTTGTCCAAAGTTTTCTGGATTTGAACTGAGAACCAGCACCTTAGCCATCTCTCCCAAGCTGGTATCATCTGCGGATAGGATGAGCGTGTTGCCCAGGGCTTTATCCACATCACTGATAAAATGCTCAGTGGTGCAGATCCTTGCCCCCACCCCCACCCCCAGCCGCCTTCCAAGTGGATGATTATTGCCTACTTCCTAGTCCACCGGTGCTTAACACAGCACCTGGCACATAGTAGGCGCTCCAGATTAGCTCTGCTTCTCCATCTTGTCTCCAGGGATGCTCCCCGAGCTTGGGGCACAGCTCAGCGGCTGCTCTCTGTGTTCAGTGTCACAGAAACTTGGAGGCCTGCTTTGAAACAGGCCCAGGGGCCAGCAGAGGCACTGCAGGAAGTGGGTCTCCTGCCTCCTTTCAAGGCTGATTCAGCTTCGACGTGGGGCCCATCATGGGTCTGTTCTGATGATTGGTCCATTCTGTGAGGAGGCGGGGCTCCAAGACACAGGGACACTCTAGGCTTCCGCCCCTCCCTGGGACCCTTGCTGGCCCCCTCCTTCTCATCCCTGACACTCTGGGCCACCCCACCTGGCCTGACTTACATGGGCATCTTCCCTTAGCCAGCCTGGGCATACTCCAGGCTTTGGGCCAGTCATGGCCCAAAATGGCCAAAGCAGACCAGGCAAATGCCCCTTCTTTGAAACGGCCTTTCAGGTTCTCTCTCGTGCTGCCGCTGAGCGTTCTGGTGTGAGGGTCTACACCTCCAGCACCTTCCACGCGCCCTCACACACATCATCTCCACACCCATCTTGGGCCAGTCCCCTTGACGCGCTCCAGCTTAGCAGCCTCTTCCTAAAGCCCCCAGAGGGTGTCTGAGCGGGGCAGAGGACAGAGGGAAGGTCCCCCTGGAAGCTCTGCCCCAAGCTCTCATTGGCTGTCGTGGCTGTCACACCCCGCTGCTGGCCTGTGCCTCAATGCCCCCTTAGCATTTGTCCCCAGAGCTCATCCCTCTAGTCCGGCTCCAGCTGCACCTTCTGAACCTGCCGTGCCCTCCCCCCCCACCACCACCACGTGGGGTGGGGCGCTCAGAGCACTGCCAGGCAGGAGGAGCTGTTAGAAGCCGAGGCTCATCTGTTGCCCAGCCCTCCCTGCATGACCACGCGGTGGTTATTACAGGCCCTGCAGCTCAGGCTCCAGCACAGGCGGGTTCTGTGTGACCATTAAAACGTAGCCCGAAGCCGCAATAAAAGCTGGAGAGGAGCGACTGGGTCTTTGTGGCCTGATCAAAGTCAGGCGTGTGATCTCGTTAGGGCCGCTGAGCCAGCGTGGGGGCTGGACCCGTGGGGTTTAACAGCCCAGCTGGGCCTGGCAAGCCTGCCTTGTTCTGATTACAGCCCCACTCCTTCCCACAAAGGGGGCCTTGTATTGGAGCCAAAACCTCGTTTCAGCTGGTCCTTTCCCACCCCCAGAGGACATGGGGAGCCATCAGTCCAAGGGCTCGGGGGCCACAACCATCATGCATGGAGATCCATCCTTCAGCATGCCTTGGCAGCCACTGGTGCTCTTCCACCTGCAGAGGGGCGCCCAGGGTCTGCGTCAGTCTGGCTCCTCTGGCTGAGGCTGCAGGGCAGCACCTTCCCTCCTCCTTGGTCTGCCCCCAGTGTGGCAATGGCTTTGTTCTGGCTCCCCTGCCCTTTCTAACCCTCATGGCCTGGCCTGGGCATTCATCAGTCTGTGTCTCTCCAACGCCCCTCAGTCACTGTGTCATGTGTCATGGTCTAGGCTTTAGACACACGTTACCAAGTTGGCTTTTTTCCCAAAGAGGCATTGTGGGAGTTGTCATTGTTCCGCCACTCAAAGTGCAGAGCTCTCTGTGCCAAAGCCCCCTCGGCTCACCTCTCCTGGGGCGCTGGGCCTCTGGCCTTCAGTCTCACCTTCACTTCGCCTGGCTTTCTAGTGCCCCCCAACAGTCCTGGTCCAAGTCTGCTGGGTTCTTCAGCTCAGAGAGGAGTGCCCGAGCAGCCCCTGATCCCCACCACCCCCATCCCTGCCTAGCTCTTACTGCCTTATTCAGCATCCACTCCCTCTTCTCCATTTCCACACACGCAAGACCATAAGGGAAGAGCAGAGATAATGTACCAGGGAAAAGTCTTTATCCGTGAGTTGACAGACAACACCAACTCCTGGGCTTTCTGTGTTCATCACTAACCCAGGGGCCCAGGTCTAACCCAGCTCAGGCTCCGGCAGGCAGGTGACTCCCCCTTTGAAGGTATCTGGGCCGATCTTGAGGATGACGGGCTGCCTCCGGGGGGCCTGGCAAGCAGGGATCCACTGAGGGTTCCTGCAGCCCAACAGGAAGGCCTGAGGCTTGCTTCCCTCCTAGAAACACAGTCAGGCACCCGACCCGTGGAGCAACTGTCATTTTGGTGGGGGAGGGGGGGTGGCTCAGCCCCAACAAGGATAGGCCTGCTGGGAAAATGACCAGCAGATCAGCTAACCCTTTCATCATTCACACGGGCCTCCAGCTTCTGTCTCTGGGGGCTCTTCTCAGAAGGAAAATCTGCTTGGGAGAGGAGGGGTGGAGACAGGGAACCCGACTGAGGGAGGTACCAGGCCTCTACCACTGACTGTCCTTTCTGCCCCCCAGGGAGCCAAGAAGCTGTGCCCCCAGTGTAACACCATCACAGCCCCCGGGGACCTGCGGCGCATCTACTTGTGAACCCAGACACCAGGACCAGGCGTGAGCCCGCCCCCAGCCCTGCTCACCCACCACCCACAGAGACAGACACACGTGTACACAGGCGTGCACACAGGACTCTGGAGCCAGAGTGGAGGGTGTGGAGCAGCCCAGCCCCCCTCCTGCCCCTGCCCCGCCCGGCCCTGGCCATCTCTGTCCCCCTCTTGCCCCTGTGTGTCTGCAGCTGGGCGGGGCGGAGCGCTGGGTCTGGGCAGACACACAGATGGACCTGCACACAGGCCAGACAAGCACATGTAACATAGACCCTGGATGTTTACAATGTTGTGTAGAGATGGGATGGACCCTCCCTGCCCTGGCCCTGCCCCCCCCACCCTTCCCCGGGTTGTGTGTTTCCTTCTTTCTTAAAGGAGGCGGGGCGTAGAGGCCCCAGCCCTCGGGGAGCCCCAGCCCCTCCCCACACTGGTCCCCTGTGTCTGCCAGCGGTGGCTTCATGTTCAGTGGTGTATAGTTTTTCATCCGGCCTGGGGGCCGGCAGCTTAAGGAGTGGGCTCCGACCCCCTCTGTTCTGGGGCTCATCTGGTCACTGGTCAGTGCCAGGGACCAGGGCTGCTTATAAGGAAGGAGTGGGAGTCCCTTCCGGGGCAGTGACCCTCCAGAGGGGAGGGGCTGACTGCCCTGGCCCTGGCCTGCCAGCCCCTGCCTGCCGGCCGCCGCGGACGCTGTGCTGTGATGCTGTGTCTGTATATCCTCTGCCAAGGTACTTGTCCTTCCTGTTTGTAAACTACATTTGACATGAATTAAACCAGTGTACGCCCATGTCTGGCGGAGCCTCCGCCTCTCCCTCGGTGAGGCTCTGGGGTCACCTCTTCACTCCAGGCTGGGGCCCAGGAGCTGAGTGTGCTCCCAGGCGCTGGTGTCGTCTGGGAGAAGCTTGGAGGAGGTCAAGTCTGGGCCCAAGTGCGTTCTGGGCTCTTGGTCTAGTTCTGAGGTGTTAGAGACTCCCATCAGGAGGGGATTCTTGATAAGCCAGTGACAGATGTGGTTATCTGAATGCCCGGTGGTGCCCCACAATGCTCGTGACTGGGCAGCCCAGGCCAGTGAGAGGGGCGTCTGAATGCCCGGCAGTGCCCCAC